GCAAGACCATGATTCCCATTTCCCTCACAGTTGATCACAACCACCATGAACGCATCATGTTCCTCACCTTAGACTCTCCTGCACACCCCGTAGTTTTAGGTCTCCCCTGGTTACAGTTGCATAAGCCCAGTATATCATGTACAGAGAGGAGGTTGTTGGGTTGGTCGCAGAAGTGTCAGGGGAGGTGTCTCTCGGTGTCTATCTGTGCCACCTCCGTGGAAAGTCCGGACCAGGCCACCCACGTCCCTATCCCGGAGGAATACTGGGACCTACAGGTGGCTTTTTCGAAGTCTCGTGCCACGTGCCTGCCACCTCATCGCCCATGGGACTGCACTATCAACCTACTTCCTGGTTCTACCCTCCCGCGGGGGCACATCTACCCTCTCTCGCATGCAGAGACCGAAGCCATGGAGGTCTACATCCAGGACGTGCTGCCCCCCCCCCGTCCACCTCTCCGGCTTCTTCCAGCTTATTTTTCGTGAAGAAGAAGGACGGAGGTCTCTGCCCCTGTATTGATTACCGGGCACTGTATAAGGCTATGGGTAAATTCAGTTATCCCCTGCCTCTCATAGCCACTGTGATCGAACAGATGCACGGTGCAAAGTACTTTACCAAATTGGATTTACGCAGTGCGCATCAGAGAGGGGGATGAATGGAATACCTCCTTCAGCACCAGCACCGGGCACTACGAATACAGGGTAATGTCCTACGACCTGACAAATGCACCCTCTGTGTTCCAATCCTTCATTAACGGAGTGTTTAGAGACATGTTGGGTCGCTCTGTAGTGGTGTACATAGACGACATCTTGGTGTAATCCACTACACGCGAGCAACATGTCTCTCATGTCAGGTCCATTTTGGAGAGGCTGATAGGGCATCACCTGTACACCAAGGCAGAGTAGTGCCTTTTCTTCCAGCAGGCAGTCTCTTTCCTGGGCTATCGGATATCCACCGCGGGAGTGGAGATGGAAGAACAGAGTACGGTCGTGGCCTGTTCCCTCCAACATCAAAGCGGTGCAGCGCTTCCTAGGTTTTGCCAACTATTTCAGGCGCTTCATTAGGGGTTTCAGCACAGTGGTTTGCCCCTCTCACCTCCCTCCTGAAGGGAGGTCTTCGACAGCTGCGCTGGACTGGGGAGGCCAACGAAGCCTTTCATGCGCTCAAGGAACGGTTTACGAACGCACTGGTTCTGGCTTACCCTGACCCGTCTCTGCCCTTCATTGTGGAGGTGGACACCTCCGAGGTTGGAGTAGGAGCTGTTCTCTCCCAACGTACTGGATTGCCGCCTAAACTCCATCCATGCGCCTTCTACTCACGGAAGCTGTCTCCCGCGGAGTGTAATTACGGCGTAGGGGATTGTGAGTTGTTGGCCGTCAAGAAGGCGCTGAAGGCATGGCGGCACTGGCTGGAGGGTGGTCAACACCCATTCCTTGTCTGGACGGACCACCGGAACCTAGAGTACATTCGAGCAGCAAAGAGGCTGAACCCGCGTCAGGCCAGGTGGGCCCTATTCTTCACCAGGTTTGACTTTACCCTCTCCTACCGGCCGGGATCTAAGAACGTTAAGGCCGATGCGTTGTCCAGGGTGCATGACACAGAGGATCGGAGGGAGGAAGTGACACCCATTATTCCCCTGTCCCGCATTGTGGACGCGGACTGAACAGGGGAGTGTGCTGCGTTTCTGCCTTTGGCAGAATACGCATAAAACTCCCTCCGTCACTCCTCCACTAACCTCACACCCTTTCAGTGTGTTCTAGGCTATCAGCCGGCCCTGGCACCGGAGTCAGATCGAGGCTCCTGCGGTGGACGATTGGTTCCGGTGCGCCCAGGAGGTATGGAACACAGCGCATACCCGTCTCCAGCGCGTCGTCCTCCGGCAGAAGGCGCAGGCCGATCATCACCCCAGTGTGGCCCCGGTCTTTCATCCCGGTGACAGGGTCTGGCTTTCTACGAAGGACCTGCCCCTCCGCCTGCCCTGCCGGAAGCTGAGCCCGCGGTTTGTGGGGTACGTTCAAAGTTCTGAGGAGAATCAATGAGGTGACGTACAGATTACAGCTCTCCGTCAATTACCGTATCTCACTCTCATTTCATGTATCTCTCCTCAGGCCGGTTGCAGCTGGTCCCTTGGCTAGTGCTGGACCTTGGACGTTGAGAGAGCCCCGGCATACTCCGTCCGCAGCCTGTTGGACTCAAGGCGTCGTGAGGGGTCTCTCCAGTACCTGGTCGACTGGGAGGGGTACGGTCCCGAAGAGCGGTTCTGGGTTCCGACGCGGGACATCCTGGACCGTTCTCTCATTCGGAATTTCCACAGGCGTCGTCCCGACCGACCTGCACCGCATCTCTTGGGTCGTCCCCAAGGTCGGCGGCGCCCCACTGCTGGAGCAGCGCCTCGTGGTGGTGCGGGGGGGGGGGTCACTGTCACACCAGCCTTCGCTTTGTTTCCCCCTTCTGTCCAGCTCAGGCGTTTGGTATCGCCGGCCTTTCTAGCTGCTGCCGAACCTGCTGCTGGCAAACGCCCTTCTGTCATCAACCCCTGACTTGTCTCGTCATCATTACACACACCTGCTTCCAATCCCCACTATTACTGTATATATACTCCCTCTGTAATTTTGTCTTTGTCGGTCATTGTATATGTTGCTTGTTTTCCTGAGAGGAATCTCTCCTACTATTTCCTGAGTACTTTATATTTTACACGGTGGGTTTCGTCCCGCTTTAAGCTACGGTGCTTTAATAAATTCAGTAGTTCTAAACCGGCGACTGCCTCCTGCCTACTCCTCTCTACACTTGTGGCATTACCGAATGGAATAACATGTATTTACTGAAATACCTTACTGAATGGAATAACATGTATTTACTGAAATACTGAATGGAATAACATGTATTTACTGTAATATCTTACTGAATGGAATAACATGTATTTACACCTGTTGTTCTCATACACCTTATCCAGGGGAGATGGGAGAACCTTCCAGACTCTACACCCTATCCAGGGGAGATGGGAGAACCTTCCAGACTCTACACCCTATCCAGGGGAGATGGGAGAACCTTTCAGACTCTACACCCTATCCAGGGGAGATGGGAGAACCTTTCAGACTCTACATCATATCCAGGGGAGATGGGAGAACCTTTCAGACTCTACACCCTATCCTGGCAACTTTGCTCTGAGTTGTGCCTGTTGTTCACACGCGTATCTGCCCTCTCATTGGCTAGAATGGTCCCACCTGATCTTGCCTCCTCCTGACTGCCTTCCATTTTTTAACACATTTATTTTCATTGTTAGAGTGGCCACTTGAGATTCTGGTCAATATAATGGATAGTCTGTGCTACAACCCATAGAAATCCCCACCCTGTTGACTACTTTGACTACTTTAAAATGGCGGAAGCATGGCGGAAGCCCTCAATGGTGCTGCCCATGCTAAAACAGCCTTTTGGCCACTAAAGGCCGCTATCAATCTCTATGGTCCTACCTCGCAACAGACGCTCCTCATTGGCTGTTTTAAAGTTGTTCAACGTCGAGGTTTCCGTTTCCGGTACAGTTGCTAAGTAACACTTCCTGTGCGTTGAACGTGTAGAAAAGTAAATAACGCCGAAAACATGGTGCATTAATTGGGATTATTGGTGAACCGGCAAGAATTTCCCGCGTGAAAATAGTCTTACCTTTGAGAACTGTTGATTTATCGGCAAAATCATGACCCTGACAACGATTAAAGACGGCGAATACACTGCCACTGTCTACAAAATGGTGAGAAGTTGCTCGCTTGTATAGCTAACGTTACATGCCATGGATACTAACGCTAGCCATGATAGCTAGCAAGCTAATGAAACTGGTTATTTGAACTTGTGGTATTCGTATAGCTAGCTAACGTTACAATACGAATTAACAAATTGGGGCTTTAACAAGCTAGCTAACTTTGATTAAGCTAGCCTGACAGACCCTTATATTTCAAGGCTCAGGCTATAGGCTATTTTTATTTTATTTATTTCACCTTTATTTAACCAGGTAAGCTAGTTGAGAACAAGTTCTCATTTACAACTGCAACCTGGCCAAGATAAAGCAAAGCAGTGCGATAAAAACAACACAGAGTTACATATGGGGTAAAAAAACATAAAGTCAAAAATACAACAGAAAATATATATACAGTGTGTGCAAATGTAGCAAGTTATGGAGGTAAGGCAATAAATAGGCTATAGTGCAAAATAATTACAATAGTATTAACACTGGAATGCTAGATGTGCAAGAGATTATGTGCAAATAGAGATACTGGGGTGCAAAAGAGCAAAATAAATAACAATATAGGGATGAGGTAGTTGGGTGGGCTAATTTCAGATGGGCTGTGTACAGGTGCAGTGATCGGTAAGGTGCTCCGACAACTGATGCTTAAAGTTAGTGAGGGAGATAAGAGTCTCCAGCTTCAGAGATTTTTGCAATTCGTTCCAGTCATTGGCAGCAGAGAACTGGAAGGAATGGCGGCCAAAGGAGGTGTTGGCTTTGGGAATGACCAGTGAGATATACCTGCTGGAGCGCAGACTACGGGTGGGTGCTGCTATGGTGACCAATGAGCTAAGATAAGGCGGGGATTTGCCTAGCAGTGATTTATAGATGGCCTGGAGCCAGTGGGTTTGACGACGAACATGTAGTGAGGACCAGCCAACAAGAGCGTACAGGTCACAGTGGTGGGTAGTGTATGGGGCTTTGGAGACAAAACGGATGGCACTGTGATAGACTACATCCAATTTGCTGAGTAGAGTGTTGGAGGCTATTTTGTAAATGACATCGCCGAAGTCAAGGATCGGTAGGATAGTCAGTTTTACGAGGGCATGTTTGGCAGCATGAGTGAAGGAGGCTTTGTTGCGAAATAGGAAGCCGATTCTAGATTTAACTTTGGATTGGAGATTCTTTATGTGAGTCTGGAAGGAGAGTTTACAGTCTAACCAGACACCTAGGTATTTGTAGTTGTCCACATACTCTAGGTCAGACCCGTCGAGAGTGGTGATTCTAGTCGGGTGGGCGGGTGCCAGCAGCGTTCGATTGAAAAGCATGCATTTAGTTTTAGTAGTGTTTAAGAGCAGTTGGAGGCTTCTGAAGGAGTGTTGTATGGCATTGAAGCTCGTTTGGAGGTTTGTTAACACAGTGTCCAATGAAGGGCCAGATGTATACAAAATGGTGTCGTCTGCGTAGAGGTGGATCTGAGAGTCACCAGCAGCAAGAGCGACATCATTGATATACACAGAGAAAAGTGTCGGCCCAAGAATTGAACCCTGTGGCACCCCCATAGAGACTGCCATAGGTCCAGACAACAGGCCCTCCGATTTGACACACTGAACTCTATCTGAGAAGTAGTTGGTGAACCAGGCGAGGCAGTCATTTGAGAAACCAAGGCTATTTAGTCTGCCAATAAGAATGCGGTGGTTGACAGAGTCGAAAGCCTTTGCCAGGTCGATGAAGACAGCTGCACAGTACTGTCTATTATCAATCGCGGTTATAATATCGTTTAGGACCTTGAGCGTGGCTGAAGTGCACCCATGACCAGCTCGGAAACCGGATTGCATAGCGGAGAAGGTACGGTGGTATTCGAAATGGTCGGTGATCTGTTTGTTAACTTGGCTTTCAAATACTTTCGAAAGGCAGGGCAGGATGGATATAGGTCTGTAGCAGTTTGGATCTAGAGTGTCACCCCCTTTGAAGATGGGGATGACCGCGGCAGCTTTCCAATCTCTGGGGATCTCAGACGTTATGAAAGAGAGGTTGAACAGACTAGTAATAGGGGTTGCGACAATTTCGGCGGCTAGTTTTAGAAAGAAAGGGTCCAGATAATATAATAATAATATAATAATATGCCATTTAGCAGACGCTTTTATCCAAAGCGACTTACAGTCATGTGTGCATACATTTTTGTGTATGGGTGGTCCCGGGGATCGAACCCACTACCCTGGCGTTACAAGCGCCGTGCTCTACCAGCTGAGCTACAGAGGACCACAGATTGTCTAGCCCAGCTGATTTGTAGGGGTCCAGATTTTGCAGCTCTTTCAGAACATCAGCTGTCTGAATTTGTGTGAAGGAGAAGTGGGGGGGGCATGGGCAAGTTGTAGCGGAGGGTGCAGAGTTGGTGGCCGGGGTAGTGGTAGCCAGATGGAAAGCATGGCCAGCCGTAGCAAAATGCTTGTTAGCCTAACGCTAGCTAACGAACTAAGTGTGTGACCACATAGCTAGCTAGATAGCTAATGTATTATTTTATAACTAGCTGCTAACTCTGTTCTCCTATAGATCAAAGATGGACGGTATGGAGAGGCCATCCACATCCTCAGCCATGAACTGCAGAAACAGATGAAGGTAGTGTGTGTGTGTGTTGTTCCTGTAAAGTTGACTCATTGGCATCAGTGCACTGCACACACACCTTCACTTGATAGTTGTATTGAACTGTTCATTCAATACGTTGTAGTTTCTAGGCAGATCGTTCCTAGTCAGTTCTGATCCACGTGCATATTTGCTATGCTGCATTTGTGAGTAGTTCATGGTCAAATCTTGCAAAGTCCACCCGACTGGCACACAGAATATTATTGTGATACTACAGATCTTGCTATGTTTAGAGAGGATCCCTAAGATCCACAACACACCACCATGTCTGATAACCACCCATGTCTGCTTGCTCGGAGGGGTTGGGATAAAGCAGAAGACACATCCATTGGACATTCGTGTACATCACTTGTAGCCTGGTCCCAGGTCTGTTGTCTCCTTCTATAGCCTGGTCCCAGATCTGTTGTCTCCTTCTATAGCCTGGTCTCAGAGCTGTTGTCTCTTTCTATAGCCTGGTTCCAGATCTGTTGTCTCCTCCTATAGCCTGGTCCCAGATCTGTTGTCTCCTCCTATAGCCTAGTCCCAGATCTGTTGTCTCCTCCTATAGCCTGGTCCCAGATCTATTTGTGCTCTTGCCAACTCCATTGCTGTCATCACCAAGCCAATGTTTAGCATGCCAATGAGTGACAAGGGGTTGTCATAATAGCACAAACAGACTGTCCCTCAGGCTATTTCATGTGACAAAACATGTAGGGCTCGATTCAATCCGTATTGGCGAAGTTCAGCGCTATAGCATTCTTGAAAATGTAAAGGTAATTTCTGATTGAGCCGATAGATGCAGCGTTTACCGTGAATGCAGTCTCATGGAACATTGCCTTTAATTGTCAATCGCCCTATAGTGCTGAACTTGTTATCCTCCTCCTCCCAGTCGCGGGCAGCCCTATCTCTGCTGGGGTACTGCTACTACCACATGCAGGACTTTACCAACGCAGCAGAGTGCTATGAGCAGCTGACCCAGCTACACCCCGAGGTGGAGGAGTACAAGCTGTATTACGCCCAGTCTCTGTACGGGGCCTGTGCCTACCCCGAGGCCATGAAGGCTACCTTTCTACTGGACAACCCTACCAGCCACACCAAGGTACAGTTCCTACATTCAGTTAGAATACCAAGGTAGAGTTATAATCAGTGTTTCATTAACCCTAACGTCTTTGCAGAAAAGCATCCCCAAAGAATGATGTTTCCACCTCCATGCTTCACATTTACATTTTAGTCATTTAGCAGACGCTCTTATCCAGAGCGACTTACAGTTAGTGAGTGCATACATTATTCTTTTTTTATTTAATTTTTTTCATACTGGCCCCACATGGGAATTGAACCCACAACCCTGGCGTTGCAAACTACCAACTGAGCTACATCCCTGCCGGCCATTCCCTCCCCTACCCTGGACGACGCAGGGCCAATTATGCGCCGCCCCATGGGTCTCCCGGTCGCGGCCGGCAGAGCCTGGATTCGAACCAGGATCTCTAGTGGCACAGCTAGCGATGCAGTGCCTTAGACCACTGCGCCACTCGGTTGGGATGGTGATCTTGGGGTTGTACTCATCCTTCTTCTTCCTCCAAACACGGCGAGTGGAGTTTAGACCAAAAAGCTCTATTTTTGTCTCATCAGACCACATGACCTTCTCCCATTCCTCCTCTGGATCATCCAGATGGTCATTGGCAAACTTCAGACGGGCCTGGACATGCGCTGGCTTGAGCAGGGGGACCTTGCGTGCGCTGCAGGATTTTAATCCATGACGGCGTAGTGTGTTACTAATGGTTTTCTTTGAGACTGTGGTCCCAGCTCTCTTCAGGTCATTGACCAGGTCCTACCGTGTAGTTCTGGGCTGATCCCTCACCTTCCTCATGATCATTGATGCCCCACGAGGTGAGATCTTGCATGGAGCCCCAGGCCGAGGGTGATTGACCGTCATCTTGAACTTCCATTTTCTAATAATTGCGCCAACAGTTGTTGCCTTCTCACCAAGCTGCTTGCCTATTGTCCTGTAGCCCATCCTAGCCTTGTGCAGGTCTACAATTTTACACAGCTCTCTGGTCTTGGCCATTGTGGAGAGGTTGGAGTCTGTTTGATTGAGTGTGTGTGTCACGCCCTGGCTCTGGGGACTCTTAAATGTTGAGCCAGGGTGTGTAGTTTCTATGTTTAGTTTTCTATGTTTGAGTTTCTAGATCGTGTAGATCTATGTTGGCCAGGGTGGTTCCCAATCAGAGGCAGCTGTAGTTCGTTGTCTCTGATTGGGGACCATACTTAGGCAGCCGTTTGGCACCAGTCTGTGTGGGATCTTGTTCCGTATAGGTATGTTATTAGTCTACCTTGGACTTCACGTATAGTTTGTTTGTTGTTTTGTTCGTGTTCAGTACGTTAATAAATATGTAAGTTTATCACGCTGCGCCTTGGTCCGTCTCATCCGTAAACGATCGTGACAGAAGATCCCACCAAATGAGGACCAAGCAGCGTGCCCAGGAAGAGAGAATAGCGATGTCTCAGGTGGGCAAATGGTGGTCATGGGAGGAGATATTCGCGGGGAAAGGGCCATGGGCGAAGGTAAATGCCCAGGCAGGAGAGGAGAAACGGTGCCAACCGTGCCGACGACGGACACCCGAGAGGCAACCCCAAGAAAAAAATTTGGGGGGGCACACGCCGTGGACGACAAGGCAGCAGGAGGCAGCGACAGGGCGAATCTGCAGATTAGGAGAGGAGGCCACCAGGTTACGGGGGCTATTGGTCCAGAGGGAGCAGGAGTTATTGGGTCAGAGGGAGGAGCTACAGGAGGCGATAAGGGAGAAGGAGAGTGTAGAGGCACGGCGAGAGGAGCTGGTTAGGCAGCAGAAGGAGCGGAGGTTTATAAGGGAACCCAGTCCCGCTCCTCGCACCAAGCAAGTGGTGTGTGTCGCCAGTCCGGTCCGTTCCTGATCCCCGCACTAAGCCAGTGGTGCGTGTTCCCAGTACGGCCCGACCCATTCCTGCTTCCCGCACAAGGCCAGTGGTGTGTGTTCCCAGTATGGTCCGGCCCGTTCCTGCTCCCCGCACTAAGCTAGTGGTGCGTGTTCCCAGTACGGCCCGACCCGTTCCTGCTCCTCGCACTAAGCCAGTGGTGTGTGTCCACAGTCCGGTACGGCCCGTTCCTGCTCCCCGCACCAAGCCAATGGTGCGTGTTCCCAGTCCGGCCCGGCCCGTTCCTGCTCCCTGCACCAAGCCAGTGGTGCGTGTTCCCAGTCCAGCCCGGCCTGTTCCTGTCCCTCGCACCAAGCCAGTGGTGCGCATCGCCAGCCCGGTCCGGCCTGTTCCTGTCCCTCGCGCCAAGCCAGTGGTGCGCGTCGTCAGCCCGGTCCGGCCTGTTCCTGTCCCTCGCGCCAAGCCAGTGGTGCGCGTCGCCAGCCCGGTCCGGCCTGTTCCTGTCCCTCGCACCAAGCCAGTGGTGCGCGTCGCCAGCCTGGTACGGCCTGTTCCTGCCCCTCGCACCAAGCCAGTGGTGCGCGTCGCCAGCCCGGTCCGGCCTTTCCTGCCCCTCGCACCAAGCCAGTGGTGCGCGTCGCCGGTCCGGCCTGTTCCTGCCCCTCGCACCAAGCCAGTGGTGCGCGTCGCCAGCCCGGTCCTGCCCGTTCCTGCTCCCCGCACCAAGCCAGTGGTGCGCGTCGTCAGCCCGGTCCGGCCCGTTCCTGCTCCCCGCACCAAGCCAGTGGTGCGCGTCGTCAGCCCAGTCCGGCCCGTTCCTGCTCCCCGCACCAAGCCAGTGGTGCGCGTCGTCAGCCCGGTCCGGCCCGTTCCTGCTCCCCGCACCAAGCCAGTGGTGCGCGTCGTCAGCCCTGTCCGGCCCGTTCCTGCTCCCCGCACCAAGCCAGTGGTGCGTGTGTCCAGTCCGGCACGGCCCGTGCCTGTTCCACCAGGCACCGGTCAGCTGCTCCACTCCGGAGCCAGAGCAATCCGCTCCACCGGGGTCCGGTCCAACTCCAGTCAGCGGATCCACTCCGGAGCCAGAGCAATCCGCTCCACCGGTGCCCAGTCCAGCTCCGGCCAGCGGCTCCAGTCCGGAGCCTGTACAGTTCGTTCCACCGTCGTCGGGTCCAGCTCCAGTCAGCGGTGCCAGACCAGACCAGACCAGGGGCGCAACAGGGAGGTGGAGAGAAGGTGGTGGTTACGCCCGGAGCCGGATCCGCCTCCGAGGCGGAATGCCCACCCGGCCCCTACCCTGTTATGTTTATGGGGCGCGGTCGGAGTCCGCACCTTTGGGGGGGGTACTGTCACGCCCTGGCTCTGGGGACTCTTAAATGTTGAGCCAGGGTGTGTAGTTTCTATGTTTAGTTTTCTATATAACTCTACCTGGTGGGGCTGGTAGAAGACCTAATTACTTAAAAATCATACAATGTGATTTTCTGGATTTTTGTTTTAGATTCCATCTCTCACAGTTGAAGTGTACCTATGATAACAATTATAGACCTCTACATGCTTTGTAAGTAGGAAAACCTGCAAAATCGGCAATGTATCAAATACGTGTTCTCCCCACTGTATATACATACACACATACATACATACATACATACATACATACATACATATCCTTAAAAAAATATATATATATTTCCCTTTATTACTTTCCAACCCCACCATCCCCTCCCTAATTGGAGTAAACTAGTGAACAACAATGCTTACAGGTTTTTTACATAGACGATACATTGGAGATAATATAAGACAAGTACTGGAAACAATATAACACTATGAAAATTCTGGGAAACCAGGCCTGGTATTCATAGCTGACTTAGAAAAGGCCTTTCGATAAAGTACGACTAGAATTTATATATATAAATGCCTGGAATATTTCAATTTTGGATAATCTCTTTTACAATGGTTTAAAGTTATTTATAGTAACCCTAGGTGTAAAATAGTAAATAATGGCTATTTCTCAAAGTATTAAACTGTCAAGAGGAGTAAAACAAGGTTGTCCACTATCAGCATATCTATTTATTATAGCCATCGAAATGTTAGCTGTTAAAATCAGATCCAACAATAATATCAAGGGCCTAGAAATCCAGGGCTTAAAAACAAAGGTGTCATTGTACGCTGATGATTCATGTTTTCTTTTAAATCCACAATTTGGATCCCTCCACAGCCTCATAGAGGATCTAGATACTTTTTCAAACCTCTCTGGATTACAACCAAATTATGATGTGTACTATATTATGTGTTGGATCACAAAAAAATACAACTTTTACATTACCGTGTAGTTTACCAATCAAATGGTCTGATGGTGAAGTGGGCATACTCAGTATTCATATCCCGAAAGAAAGAAATGATCTCACTACAATACATTTTAATAGAAAGTTAGCAAAAATAGATACGATCTTGTTACCGTGGAAAGGAAAATACCTGTCTATTTGTGGAAAAATCACTCTTTAGTCATATCCCAGTTTACCTATTTGCTTATGGCCTTGCCTACACCTAGCGACTTGTTTTTTAAATTATATGAGCAAAAAATATTCACTTTTATTTGGAATGGCAAGCCAGACAAAATTAAACGGGTCTATTCACTACTACTAACAATCCCACCAGTTAGAGTTATAATGTTTACTACCAGCCCCACCAGGTAGAGTTATAATGTTTACTACCAGCCCCACCAGGTAGAGTTATAATGTTTACTACCAGCCCCACCAGGTAGAGTTATAATGTTTACTACCAGCCCCACCAGGTAGAGTTATAATGTTTACTACCCGCCCCACCAGGTAGAGTTATAATGTTTACTACCAGCCCCACCAGGTAGAGTTATAATGTTTACTACCAGCCCCACCAGGTAGAGTATAAGTTTACTACCGCCCCACCAGGTAGAGTTATAATGTTTACTACCAGCCCCACCAGGTAGAGTTATAATGTTTACTACCAGCCCCACCAGGTAGAGTTATAATGTTACTACCAGCCCCACCAGGTAAAGTTATAATGTTTTCTACCAGCCTCACCAGGTAGAGTTATAATGTTTACTACCAGACACACCAGGTAGAGTTATAATGTTTACTACCAGACACACCAGGTAGAGTTATAATGTTTACTACCAGACACACCAGGTAGAGTTATAATGTTTACTACCAGACCACACCAGGTAGAGTTATAATGTTTACTACCAGCCCCACCAGGTAGAGTTATAATGTTTTACTACCAGACACACCAGGTAGAGTTATCATGTTTATACCAGACACCAGGTAGAGTTATATGTTTACTACCAGACACACCAGGTAGAGTTATAATGTTTACTACTACCAGACACCCACCAGGTAGAGTTATAATGTTTACTACCAGCCCCACCAGGTAGAGTTATAATGTTTACTACCAGCCCCACCAGGTAGAGTTATAATGTTTACTACCAGCCCCACCAGGTAGAGTTATAATGTTTACTACCAGCCCCACCAGGTAAGTTATAATGTTTACTACCAGCCCCACCAGGTAGAGTTATAATGTTTACTACCAGCCACACCAGGTAGAGTTATAATGTTTACTACCAGCACACCAGGTAGAGTTATAATGTTTACTACCAGCACACCAGGTAGAGTTATAATGTTTACTACCAGCCCACCAGGTAGAGTTAATGTTACTACAGCCCACCAGGTAGTATAATGTTTACTACCAGCCCACGGTAGAGTTATAATGTTCTACTGCACCAGCCCCACAGGTAGAGTATAATGTTACTACCAGCCCCCAGTAGAGTTATCACACGAGATATAATATATCTTGGTTCTTTTCCCTTTGACCCATGTTCTGTCCATCTCTCCCACAGATGATCAAACTGCAGGCAGCCATCAAATACGGAGAAGAGGAGTACTCTGGAGCGAAGGTTAGTAGCTACTAGTATTGGACATATACTGGACTTGGCCATGACTAGAACCAGAACTAGAACCATGAGTAGAACCAGAACTAGAACCATAACTAAAGACCAAAAACATGTACCTGGTGGTTACTGTATGCGGTCAGGAGAAATTAATATAACCCCTTATAAACCCTATCTCCTTTTCTCCATGAATATGCCCTTATGACTCCCTATAACTCTTCATGACCTCTTATAACCCCTTCATGGACCCTCTCCCTGTCAGACATTGGTAGAGCAGCTTCCCCAGGACGACCCAGACTATGAGGTGGACATGGGCTGTCTACTCTACAAGGAGGGGGAGTACGAGGAGGCCTGCAAGAAGTTCATGTCTGCCATGCAGGTTCTGGGCTACCAACCAGGTAACTGCACACACAAAGGAAACCTTTTGACCTTTTGGCTATCCTAAAAGTCTCTTGCAAGTTGCTGAATCTCTCTCTCCCCTCTCCCTCTCCCTCTCTCCCTCCCTCTCTCTCTTCCTTTCTGTCTCAGACCTGTCCTACAATATAGGTCTGTGCTACTATAGCATGAAACAGTATGCTCAGGCCCTCAAATTCATCGGCGAGATCATAGAGAGAGGGATCAGGGAGCATCCAGGTAAAACTGGCCTTTAAAATGAAGAAGTTCATTTGTCAGCACACCTGTTTAGTTAGATACCTGATCACAGCACATCTCAAAAGGTCAGCACACCTGTCTAGTTAGATACATGATCACATCTCAAAAGGTTAGCACACCTGTTTAGTTAGATACCTGATCACTGTGTTGTGATTTTCACTTAGTGTCCCTCCTTCTTCTCATCCATGTTTCCCCCTGACCATCCGGTGTGTGTCTCGTGTGTCTCGTGTGTCTCGTGTGTGTCGTGTGTGTTCTCTCGTCCAGAGCTGAGCGTTGGCATGACGACAGAGGGCATCGACGTGAGAAGTGTGGGCAACACCCTGATCCTACATGAGACTGCTCTCATAGAAGGCTTCAACCTCAAGGCTGCTATAGAATACCAGCTCAAAAACTGTGAGTACACTCAGTAGCCTTGTGGTTAGAAGGTTGAGAGTTCAATCCCCGGCCGAGTCATAACATAGACTGTTAAAATGGGACCTGATGCGTCTCTGCTTGGCTCTCAGCATTAAGGAGATAGATTGGTGTCTAAGGCCCTGCGATAGACTAGTGTCCTGTCCAGGAGGTGTACTGTACATCAAGCTGTCTCACTACATAAACAGGAGATAGACTAGTGTCCTGTCCAGGGGGTATACTGTACATCAAGCTGTCTCACTCCAGAAACAGGAGATAGACTAGTTCCTGTCCAGGGGGTGTACTATACATCAAGCTGCCTCACTACAGAAACAGGAGATAGACTAGTGTCCTGTCCAGGGGGTATACTGTACATCAAGCTGTCTCACTCCAGAAACAGGAGATAGACTAGTGTCCTGTCCAGGGGGTGTACTATACATCAAGCTGCCTCACTACAGAAACAGGAGATAGACTAGTGTCCTGTCCAGGGGGTATACTGTACATCAAGCTGTCTCACTACAGAAACAGGAGATAGACTAGTGTCCTGTCCAGGGGGTGTACTAATACATGAAGGAGATAGGCTCCTGCCCTATGGGCCGCTCTGGCTCACACAAGCCAAAGCTACTTACTCATAGTATACCAGGTTGGCATAGAGTACCAGCTGAAAAACGGTCAGTACTCATAGTATACCAGGTTGGCATAGAGTACCAGCTGAAAAACGGTCAGTTCTCATAGTATACCAGGCTGGCATATAGTACCAGCTGAAAAACGGTCAGTACTCATAGTATACCAGGCTGGCATAGAGTACCAGCTGGAAAACGGTCAGTTCTCATAGTATACCAGGCTGGCATAGAGTACCAGCTGAAAAACGGTCAGTACTCATAGTATACCAGGTTGGCATATAGTACCAGCTGAAAAACGGTCAGTACTCATAGTATACCAGGCTGGCATAGAGTACCAGCTGGAAAACTGTCAGTTCTCATAGTATACCAGGCTGGCATAGAGTACCAGCTGAAAAACGGTCAGTACTCATAGTATACCAGGCTGTAATAGAGTACCAGCTGAAAAACTGTCAATTCTTATAGTATACCAGGCTGGCATAGAGTACCAGCTGAAAAACTGTCAGTACTCATAATATACCAGGCTGTAATAGAGTACCAGCTGGAAAACTGTCAGTACTCATAGTATACCAGGCTGGCACTAGCCTAGGTACCAGAACTGTTTGTGCTATCATTCCACATAGTTTACAAGGCTGCCATCGAGTACCATTATTTTACCAGAAAGGTACCATAGTTTTGCAAGTTGCAACTCTAGGTCTCACCTCTCTGTCTGTCTGTCTGTCTCCAGGTGATGCAGCTCAGGAGGCCTTGACTGACATGCCGCCCAGATCAGAGGAGGTACTGTCTGTGTGTGTGTGTGTACTTGTGTGTGTCTATGTATGTCAGCCCTACCACACATGTAGGTTGGAGACAGTGCTGCTGTAACGTATATCTCTATCTGTGGCTCAGAGGGTGCTGCCCTCTAGTGACCATCGACATCAACACACACACACTGATGGGGATCAGGGGAACGGGAGCACTCTGTCAGACAGAAAGCTGTTGTAACGTGTGTGTGTCCTTGAGCAAGTACTAGCTCAAAAACTGTGCATGTCCATCCATGGGCGCTGCCCTGAGGACGACCCTGGGCCTGTCAACGTGTGTGTGTGTCTGGGGGCGTTGGGAAAGGAACAAGAAACATTCTCCTTCTAACCAATGGACAATCAAGTATCTATTGTATTCTAGGAGCTGGACCCAGTGACGCTTCACAACCAGGCCCTGATGAACATGGATAAGAAGCCATCGGAGGGTTTTGAGAAACTAGCCTTCCTCCTGCAGCAGATCCCCTTCCCCCCAGTCACCTTCGGAAACCTGTTGTTACTATACTGCAAATATGAGGTAGGGCATTCTGCTGTACTCTACTATATTATACTATACTATTATACTGTACTCTACTATGTTATACTATACAATATTATACTATACTCTAATGCTGCTACTATACTGCAAACATGAGGTAGGGTATTCTGCTGTACTCTACTATATTATACTATACTATTATAATGTACTCTACTATATTATACTATACTATTATACTGTACTCTACTATATTATACTAATATACTGTACTATACTATTATACTATTCTGCTGCTACTATACTGTAAATATGAGATGGGTAGATCACTACTGTTCTCTACTATTATACTGTACTCTACTGTTATACTGTACTATATGATTATACTGTACACTACTGTTCTCTACTATTATACTGTACTCTACTGTTATACTGTACTATATGATTATACTGTACACTACTGTACTCTACTATTATACTGTACTCTACTATTATACTGTACTCTATTGTTATATTGTACTATATGATTATACTGTACACTACTGTACTCTACTATTATACTGTACTCTACTGTTCTACTATTATACTGTACTCTACTGTACTCTACTATTATACTGCACTCTACTATTAAACTGTACTCTACTATTATACTGCACTCTACTGTACTCTAATATTATACTGTACTCTACTATTATACTGTACTCTACTGTTCTCTACTATTCTACTGTACTCTACTGTTCTCTACTATTCTACTGTACTCTACTATTATACTGTACTCTACTGTTCTCTACTATTATACTGCACTCTACTGTTCTCTACTATTATACTGCACTCTACTGTACTCTACTATTATACTGTACTCTACTGTACTCTACATTATACTGTACTCTACTGTTCTACTATTCTACTGTACTCTACTGTTCTCTACTATTCTACTGTACTCTACTATTATACTGTACTCTACTGTTCTCTACTATTATACTGCACTCTACTGTTCTCTACTATTATACTGCACTCTACTGTACTGTACTGTACTGTACTATTATACTGTACTCTACTATTATACTGTACTCTACTGTTCTCTACTATTATACTGCACTCTACTGTACTCTACTATTATACTGCACTCTACTGTATTATACTGTACTCTACTGTACTCTACTAGTATACTGCACTCTACTGTATTATACTGTACTTTACTGTACTCTACTGTTATACTGTACTCTACTATTATACTGCACTCTACTGTTATACTGGACTCTACTGTATTATACTGTACTCTACTGTACTCTACTATTATACTGTTCTCTACTGTTATATTGTACTCTACTGTTATACTGTACTCTACTGTACTCTACTATTATACTGTACTCTACTATTATACTGTACTATATGATTATACTGTACTCTACTATTATACTGCACTCTACTGTACTCTACTATTATACTGTACTCTACTATTCTACTGTACTCTACTGTTCTCTACTATTCTACTGTACTGTACTCTACTATTCTACTGTACTCTACTATTATACTGTACTCTACTGTTATACTCTACACTCAGCATTTTTATTTGTCTGTAATACACTACGGCTTTTTAAATGCCGACACAACCTTATCTGGAGTTTGGAGTGCCACTGTACGGGCATTGTGTTTGTCTGTAAAGGAATTCCGCTTCTGAAGCGGGACTAACATGCTGACCAGACCGGACGCTTCGCAAAATAAATGTACACATACATGTTATTCAATCATTGCACCCACACTGCTCGCATGCGTTAGAGAGCGTCTGCGTGGCCAGGCTCTAAAATAGAACTTGGTTCTATTTGTGATGCTCGACGCGCTACAATTCCTGGCTATCCCATCTCCTCATTGGTTTTTAGGAGCATATACCCATGTGGGTGATTGAAAGATGAACTGAGGTCCACACTCCAGTCCAGTTGGTGGTGGTAATGCACCTTAAAGTTGGTTGCCGACTGACATATAAAGTCCGAAAAAGAAGAAGCCTGAACTTGATTTACCGTTTTATCTGTGGATTAATTGTCGGAGTAGAGGAACTTTCAGGTATAATAACAACCCAATGTTTATATCCCAAGACAAATTAGCTAGCAACTGCAAGCTAGCTAGCTAAATTGTCATAAATGTTTAATGCTTTTCGACCTGTCCCCAAATTAATATAGTTGGTTCAGAGTTTGTTTCGATATTTCAACCTGCGTGTCCTGATCGTGTCTGGTGTGGGAGCAAAAAATCAACATGCGCGCGATGGTCTGGTCAGCATGTAATGTCCATGACTAGGTGAACTGAACTGTCAATCATATAATCTTGAGCTGCCTGCGCGCAGCCAGCCTGCCTGCCTGCTGCCTGAGCGCAGACCACTCTCTCTTGAAAAAGTATGTTAAAGTTTGTTAAATACCGTGATTTACCAAGACATTTAGTAGAAAGTAAACCCCTACCATAGAACACAGCACAAATAACACAGCAGCACATCTAAAAGCTACAGACACTTCTGATGCACCACTTTGTTTAATTGTCTGAAAGGTTATCAATCGACACATTACTGTAGCGCCGTTCTATGCTTGTAAAGGATATAATGTACTCTACTACTGTATTTATTATACTATACTCTACTGCAAATACAAGGTAGGGCACTCTACTCTACTGTACTGTACTCTACTATTATACTATACTCTACTGCAAATACAAGGTAGGGCACTCTACTGTACTATACTCTACTATTATACTATACTCTACTGCAAATACAAGGTAGGGCACTCTACTGTACTATACTCTACTATTATAATGTACTCTACTGCAAATACAAGGTAGGGCACTCTACTGTACTATACTCTACTATTATAATGTACTCTACTGCAAATACAAGGTAGGGCACTCTACTATACTCTACTATTATAATGTACTCTACTTCTACTGCAAATACTAGTTAGGACACTCTACTATATATACTATACTGTATATCTACTATACTCTACTACTGTATATCTACTATACGCTACGATACAATACTACTGGATATATATACTCTACTACTGTATATTTACTATAATCTACTATACTCTACTTTATATCTACTACATTTACATTTACATTTAAGTCATTTAGCAGACGCTCTAGTCCAGAGCGACTCACAAATTGATGCATTCACCCTATAGCCAGTGGGATAACCACTTTACAATTTTTGGGGGGGGGGGGGGGGGGGGGGGGGTAGAAGGATTACTTTATCCTATCCCAGGTATTCCTTAAAGAGGTGGGGTTTCAAATGTCTCCGGAAGGTGGTGAGCGACTCCGCTGTGTGTGTGGGGGGGGGGGGTAGAAGGATTGCTTTATCCTATCCCAGGTATTCCTTAAAGAGGTGGGGTTTCAAATGTCTCCGGAAGGTGGTGAGTGACTCCGCTGTCCTGGCGTCGTGAGGGAGCTTGTTCCACCATTGGGGTGCCAGAGCAGCGAACAGTTTTGACTGGGCTGAGCGGGAACTATGCTTCCGCAGAGGAAGGGGAGCCAGCAGGCCAGAGGTGGATGAACGCAATGCCCTCGTTTGGGTGTAGGGACTGATCAGAGCCCGAAGGTACAGAGGTGCCGTTCCCCTCGCTGCTCCAAAGGCAAGCACCATGGTCTTGTAACGGATGCGAGCTTCAACTGGAAGCCAGTGGAGTGTGCGGAGGAGGGGGGTGACGTGAGAGAACTTGGGAAGGTTGAACACCAGACGGGCTGCGGCATTCTGGATGAGTTGTAGGGGTTTAATGGCACATGCAGGGAGGCCAGCCAACAGCGAGTTGCAGTAATCCAGACGGGAGATGACAAGTGCCTGGATTAGGACCTGTGCCGCTTCCTGTGTGAGGCAGGGTCGTACTCTCCGAATGTTGTAGAGCATGAACCTGCAGGAGCGGGTATATACTATACTCTACTACTGTATATCTACTATACTCTAATGTATATTTACTATACACTACTATGCACTACTACTGTATATCTACTATACTCTACTACTGTATATTTACTATACACTACTATGCTCTACTACTGTATATATACTATACTCTACTGTACCTTAATATACTCTACTACTGTATATTTACTATAGTATTGTAATGAATACTCGGACAGAGTGGTAAGATCCAATCGCAGAATAGCGATGCTTTATTAGAGTACAGACAAGGGTATAGCTTAATCGTGGTCGGGCGGGCTGTGGTCAAAACCGGGCAAGGCATAGACAGGCAGAGGTACCAAAGGAGCGGGCTTAGTCGTAGTCGAGGGCACAGGCACAGGATCAGAGCACGGTAATCACTGGGGTAGACAAGCAGAGGATTAAGCAATTCGGGAAGTCAAACAAGGCACAGGTCGGATACACGGTTAATCAAAACAACAAACTCTCTCTCTCTCTCTCGGAACAAAACGCTTAGCAAGTCACAAAGGAACAATACCTCGCACCGACTGAACCTCTGAGCACACCTTATATCCTACCCTAATTACGGACAGGTGTGCTCAGAACTCAGGTGAACCAGATCGAGTCTGATGACTCCCCCTCTCTGTAGATCGGGGAAGTGTCAGACTCTGTCTAGACCCAGCCAACCCCCGATCCCTTACAAGTATACTATACTATACGACTTTATATATACTATACTCTAATACTGTATATCTACTATACTCTAATGTATATTTACTATACACTACTATGCTCTACTACTGTATATCTACTATACTCTACTAGTGTATATTTACTATACACTACTATGCTCTACTACTGTATATTTACTATAATCTACTATACTATACGACTTTATATATACTATACTCTAGTACTGTATATCTACTATACTCTAATGTATATTTACTATACACTACTATGCTATACTACTGTATGTCTACTATACTCTACTGTGCCTTAGTATACTATACTACTGTATATATACTATACTATACTACTGCATATATACTATACTCTACTGTACCTTAGTATACTCTACTGCTGCTGATATAAACCTCAAATACGAGGTAGGTTTTCACACCACCTCCACACACACGTGAAATATAAACCATTGTTTCCATAAAAAATGCAGCCCTGTTGTAAAGAAATCTTGTCAGAGGTGTTCCATGCTGTGTGCTACATTTAGTAAGCATTTAGAAGATCAACCTTGCCAGCATGTGGTCTGTGTTTTAATGAAGACTGACCGTGCTGCTGTCCTGCTGTTCTGGAGACCAAAGACTTGTTTTGCGTCCCAAATGGCACCCTGTTCCCTTTATAGTGCACTGATTTAGACGAGAGCCCCTATATAGGGATGATATTTCCTATAGGCCCTGGTAAAAAGTAGTGCACTTTAAAGGGAATAGGGTGCCATTTGGGACGCAGACAGACTCATTAAAATGGTGTTAATGTCTCTGCTGGACTCTCTCTCTCTCAGTATTTTGACCTGGCTGCTGATGTGATGGCAGAGAATGCACACCTCACCTACAAGTTCCTCACCCCGGTAAGTAACACAGGTCCCTTGCCTTTCATTGTCCTTTCTTTTCATGCTACATCCCTACAGTCAGTAACTAGGGATAGTTAGATATTACTCTGACCCTGAAGTCAAGTCCATGAGGGATTGTAAGGCCTGTATATTTCTCCTGTCCTGTTCCTGTCACACATCCCCAATTCATTTTCTGGTCGAGTTTCTCCTGCTATGTTATGAAACACTTTACCTATGTCCTCTCTGTGTTCCAGTATCTGTATGAGTTTCTGGACGCCATGTTGACCTGCCAGACAGCTCCAGAGGAGGTAACAACAAAACACTACTAATACACACCATTTACACCCTGTACTCCCTACTGCCTACTAGTACTAATCACCCTGTACTCCCTACTGCCTACTAGTACTAATAACCCTATACTACCTACTCCCTACTAGTACTAATCACCCTACACTAACCTACTCCCTACTAGTACCAATCAACCCTATACTGCCCTACTAGTACTAATCACCCTATACTACCTAGCTTACCCCCCTACTAGGACATAATCAACCCTATACTATACCTACTCCCTAACTAGTACTAAGGCACCCTATACTGCCTACTAGTACAAATCACCCATACTCCCTTTATGCCTAGTACAAATTTCCCCCCTATCCTAAAAAAAAACCCCTAATATTTACTAACCCCCCCGGGTACAAAATTTAAGACTAATAAAAAAAACCCTTAAATACTACCAAATCCCTAAAATAATCACCAAAACTCCCTACCCCCTTTACTAGTCCTAATAAACCTTTTTTATACAACCTCCCCCTAGTACAAAATCACCAAAATCCTCCCCAAAACCCCCCCTTTTAGTACTAATCCCCGATCTACCATCCCTACTGTACTAATCACCCTATACCCCTCTCCCTTTACTAGTACTTCCACCCTAAAACTGCCCTACTAGTATTTAATCACCCTTTTAATCCCCAAACCCCCTAGTACAAATAACCCAAATACTAACCTACCCCCCCTAGTATAATCCCCTATACTACCTACCCCTACTAGTAAAAACCCCACCCTTACTCCCTCCTCCCTATTACTAATCCCCCTTTTATATTTACCTATTTCCCAAATATACTAACACCCAAATACTACCTACTCCCTACTAACTAATCCCCCCTCCCGATTGGCGCAGTGGTCAAAGGGGCATTGCTCCCCTGCTAACTGTGACTAGAGATTCTGGTTCGAATCCAGGCTCTGTCGTAGCCGGCCGCGCCCGGGGGAAAACCCAAATGGGGGGTGCAAAATTGGGCCAATTGTCGCCCAAAGGGAAAGGGGGGGGAAGGGCCCCGGCAGGGTTTGTAGAGCATGGGGGTTTTGAAACACCAGGGTTGTGGGTTTGATTCCCACGGGGGGCCGGGGGTATAAAAAAATTTAAAAATATGTTGCACTAAATAACTGGAATCGCTCTGGATAAGAGCGTTGCTAAAGGGAAAAAAATAAAAAAAATTTTAAAGGGAAAACGCCTAGACAAATCAACCTATACTCCCTACCCCCCTACTATACTAATAAACCCCCTAACTACCTAGGGCCTAGAACTAATCCCCCTTTTACACTTACCCCTAGTACAACACCCTAACTACCGCCTTCCCACTATTTACAAATCCCCCCTTTTACTACCCCTATTTATTACTAATCCCCCTATATCCCCTACTCCCTATACTAACCACCCCATACAACCTAAGGGCCCCTCTAGACTAATCCCCCTTTATAAGGGCCCACAGTAAAACCCACCCTAAACTACCTACCCCTTTTAAAACTAATCACCCTTTACTCCCTACTCCCTAATATTTACAAATCACCCTTTTATTCCCACTCCCAAATAGTACTAATAACCCAAATTTTAAACCGGGCTGCGTACTAGTACTAATCACCCTTTACTCCCTTTACCCCCCTATAGTACAAAATCACCCTAAAACTACCTACCCCCTATAGTACAACCCCCTATACAAACCCTACTCCCCACTAGTACTAATCACCCCAATCCCCTTCCCCCTACTATTTACAAATAACCCTATACACCTCCCGCCTACTATTTACTAATCACCCTTACACCACCCCAAAGAACAAACCCCCCCAAACCCACCCACGGGGACAACCCCCCGGGACAACCACGCCCCACAACAACACCTTAACCCCTTACCCCAACAACCCCCCCCAACACCCACCCCACGGGGACAACCACCAACCCCCTTCCCCCCAGGACAACACCAAAACCCCAAACCACCCCCACAGTAAATCACCCTAACACCTTTCCCACAAAACAAAATCCCCCTTTATACACCACTGCCCTCCTAGTACTAATCCCCCTTTAACTCCCCACTAGTAAATAACCCATACACCTACCCCAGACAAATCCCCCTAAAACCCACCCCACGGGGGAAAACACCCAACCCCACCCCGGGGAACAAAAACCCTAACTACCTACTCCCCAAAACTAGTCTAACACCCTATACTACCTACTCCCTACTAGAACTTTCACCCCCGAAGGGCGCAGGTGGTCAAAGGCTTTGGCATCGCAGTGCAACTGTGCCACAAGATGGGGGTTTCCCAAACCCAGGTTTTTCGTACCGGGCCCGGCCCGGGAAAACCCAGGGGGGGGGTGCAAAATTTGGCCCAGGCCCTCCGGGGAAAGGGAGGGAATGGCCGGCGGGGTTGTAGAGCATGGTGTTGCCCACCAGGGTTGTGGGTTTAAATTCCCACGGGGGGCCAGTTTTGAAAAATTTAAAATCATGTATGCACTCACAAACCGGGAAAGTCGCTCTGGATAAACCCTTTTTGCTAAATATAAAAAATTTAAAAAAAAAAAAAAAAAAATGCCTAGTCCTAATCCCCTATACTACCTACCCCCTTTATAGTATAAAAACCCTATACTCCCTACTCCCTAGAAAAAATCACCCTATATACTTACCCCCTACTATTATTTAATCACCTTTATCCTACCTACTCCCTAGTCTATCCCCTATACAAACCTACCTCCCAGAAATAACACCCTATCTACCTAATGCCTCCTATTAAAAATCACCCTAAAATGCCTATGTATAATCCCCCCTAAAACTACCTACCGCCTACATACTAATCACCCTATCTACCTCCCAAATAGTAAAAAAATCACCCTAAATTACCACTCCCTACTAGTACAAATTTCCAACCCATATTCCCTTTCGGGCGAAATAGTACTAATCACCCTATATTTACCTACCCTTTTAAAATTTCCCTAACAATCACCCACTAATACCTACGGCCTTAGTACTTAAACCCATATACCTACCCCCCACTAGAACAAATCACCCAATACTCCTACTAGTCCTAATCACCCTTTTAAAAAACTATACCCCAAACTATCCCAAACCCCAAATTTATACAAATCCCCCTATAAAAAAAATCCCTAATTACCCAAAAACCCCAAACCCAATCCTACCAGACTAACCCACCCTTTTTACCTGGGTACTGTACTAACCCCCCCTACCTACCTACCCCCCCTCTAGTACTAATCCCCCCCAAACACCTACTGCCAAATAGTATAATAAAACCCTATACACCTTCCCTACTAGTACAAATCACCCTTTTACTCCCTACTAGTACAAATAAACCCTATACTCCTATTTCCCCTACTATTACTAATCACCCTATTTACCACTCCCTAGTACAAATCCCCCCCATACTACCCAAACTCCCTAGACTAATCCCCCTTTATACCCCCTACCCCTTTAGTCCCTAATCACCCTAACACCTCCACCACGGGGACAAATCACCCTATACTACTATCCCCAATATTTCAAATCCCCTATATTACCTACTCCTACTACTATAATCACCCTTTTTAACTACTGCCTCCCAAATTTCCCAAATCACCCTATCCTCCCTCCCCTTTTTACTAGTACAAAACCCACCCTATACTACCTACTGCCTACTATTTACTAATCCCCCAAAAACCCCTTTACTCCCTATAGTACAAATCCCCCTTTATACTCCCAAACCCCCTAGTAAAATCCCCCTATCCCAAACCTACTCCCAAGTATTAATCCCCCCTATACTACCTACTCCCTACTAGTACAACCCACCCATACTACCTCCCCCCTACTATTACTAATCCCCCTATTTTACCACCCAAACTATACTAATAAACCTATACAAACCTCCCCCCCAAAATTAGTAAAAACAACCCTATACTCCCTACTCCCTACGGGGACTAATCACCCTTTTAAAACAAATTCCCTACAAATACTAATCACCCTATTTTTACCTACCCCTAGTATAATCATCCTTGTATTTACCTATTTCCCTACTGAAACTAATAAAATTAAAATAAAATTATTTAATAATAAAATCCCCCTAAAAAATCGGCTAAAAAATACTAAAAACCCTTTATCTACCTACTCCCTATATTACTTAATACAACTATAAAACCCTTCCCCCCAAATACAAATCATCCTGTACTACCTACCCCTACTTTTTTACAAAACCCCCTTTTTTAACTACCTACTCCCTACTAGTGAAATCCCCTAAACACCACCCCAAACAACCCCTTTAAAACACCACCCCGCCCGGACAACACCCAACACCCCCACAACAACCCCGGGGTAAAACCACCCCACGGGGACAACCCAACCCCCACCCCACGGGGGCACACCCAACACCACCCCCCCGGGACTTTTAAACCAACAACCACCCCAAACAACCCCCGGAAACCACTCCCTACATTAAATCCCCCTATCGACTTTCGGCCACAAGGCAATGCCCCGGGAAACCCCAACCCCAAGGGGGACAAAAACCCAAACAACCCCCGGGACCACCCCCAAAACCACCACGGCCGGGGAAACCCCCAACACCACCCCTAGAACAAGGGACCCAAACACCCAACCAACGGGGACACACCCATACACCACCCCACAACTATTCACCCTATATCCCCTATTTCCCTACTAGTCCTAATCCCCCCCTATATACCTATTTTCCCCCTACTAAAAATTTAACACCCACCCCCCAGTGGCGCAGGGGTTTCAAAAGGCATTGCATCGCAGTCAACTTGCCACTAGATATCCTGGTTCGAATCCAGTCCCCTCGTAGCCCCGGGCGCCCCGGGAGACCCATGAGGCGGGGGCACAATTTGGGGAAAGTGCCCGTGGGGGTAAGGGAGGGAAGGCCGGCAGGGATGTTTGAAACACCAGGGTTTTGTGGGTTTGATTCCCGGGGGGGCCAGTAAAAAAATAAAAAAAAACCATGTATGCACCCCATAAGGGAAAAGTCGTCTGGAAAGAGGCTGCTAAATGACAAAAAAGGAAAAAAAAAGAAAAAAAAAAATAGGGCCTGGGAAAAACAACCATACTACCTACTCCCCTACTAGTAAAATCACCCTATACAACCTACGGGCCAAAACCAATCACCCTAAAATACATTTCCCCTAGTCCTAATCCCCTATACTCCTACCCCCATGTATAATCCCCTAACTACCAAACCTCCCTCCCTAGTACAAATCACCCATACTCCTACCCCTAGTACTAATCACCCTTACTCCCGACCCCTACAGTACTACTCACCAAAACTACCTACTGCCTACATTTACTAATCCCCCTTATCCCTACTACTGCCTACTATTACAAATCCCCCCAAAATCCCCTACCCCTTTAATAATCCCAAATCCCCCTATATTACCTCCCTCCCCAAACTATACTAATCCCCCTATTTTTAACCTGCTGCGTCTAGTACAAATTAAACCCTATATTTACCCCTCCCTACTAGAAATTAATCCCCTAAAACTCCCACCCCCCTACAAGAAACTAATCCCCCCTATACAAACCAACCCCCTAGTACTAATCACCCTATACCCCCAAATTGCCTAAAATTAATAAACCCCTATACTACCTATTTCCTAAACTAATCACCCAAAAATTACCCCCAAGATAAAATAAAAATTTAAAAACCCACTAACTACGGGGGAAAAAAAAAGTTTTTTATTTACCTACTCCCTAGTACAAAATTTAAACCCCTATTTTAACCTACTTCCCCTATATAATCACCCAAAATAACCTACTCCCTACTAGACTAATCACCCTAAATTACCTCCCCCCTACTTTTATAATCACCCTATATTCCCCTACCCCCTACTGGGTTAATCCCCCCTATATTTACCTACTCCCAAGGGGAAAACCCCCAACACCACCCCACGGGGACAACCCCCAACCCACCCCCCTAAGGGACAAACCCAACCCCCCCAAAATAGTACTAACACCCCAAAATTACCTACCCCCTAGAAACAAATCATCCGGGTTCTAACTACCCCTACTAGTCAACCCCAACCCCTTATAGACCTATCCCACTAGTCCTAACCCCCTAATTCCCCACCCCTAGTACAAAACCCCGGGACCCCCACCCCTACTGGGACTAACCCCTTTAAAACCCACCTACCCCTGTACAAATCACCAATACAAACCTACTCCCCTACTAGTCTAATCCCCCTTAATTTACCTTCCTCCCTACTTTACTAATCACCCTATACTCCCTTTATGCCAAGTACAAATTTCACCGGTAAACCTACTCCCCTACTATTAAACCCCCAATAAAATCCCTCCCCAAATAGGGCTAAAACCCATAAAAAAAACCCCAAACTGGGAAAGAACTCCCATCAACTACCTATCCCTATTATTTACTAATCACCTTATACAAACCCTCCTCCCCTAGTACAAATCCCCTTTTACATCTACTCCCCTCCCAGTACAAATCACCCTGAAAACTACCTACTCCCTACTAGAAATAATCCCCCTGTATCCCCCTACTCCCTATATACTAATCACCCCGCCTCCCTATTTACCCCTAGTACTAATCACCCAAATACCCCAAAACCCCGGGGGACAACCCCCCCCTAACTACCACCCCCCCGGGACAAAAACCAAACCCCACCCCACAAGGACGAAACCCAAACCACCCCAAACAAAAACACCCCGGGGGGGAACCACCCCCGGACAACCTGGGGGACAACCACCCCCTGGGACAACCACCTTATACTCCCACTCCCTAAATTACTCCCCCCCCACACCCCTTTTAAACCCCCACCACTACTAGTCCCCCCAAATCACCTTACTACCTACCCCTATTAATAATCCCCCTAACTACCTACTCCCTAGTACTTTTCCACCCTTACCCCCTTTATTTCCCTACAAAGTATAATCACCCTATCCACCTACTGCCCCCGGGGGACAAAAACCCAACAACCCCCCCACGGGGACAATCACCCAAACCAACCCCCCACAGAAACAACAACCCAAACCCCCATTTCCCAAACATAAAATCACCCAAACTACCACTCCCAAATAGTATTTAATCCCCTAACTACCTCTCCCACAAGTATCTTTAAACCTATACAACCTTCCCCCTCCCACAGTACTAATCCCCCTATATTACCTACGGGCCTACTGTACTAATCACCTTAAAAACTACCTATTCCCTCTAGAAATATTCCCCTAAAAACTACCACCCCCCACTATACAAAATCCCCCCTATACTACCTATCCCTCTATTAAAAATCCCCCTATAGACCTAATCCCAAAGTACTAATCCCCCCTATATCCCAACCCCAAAATGGGTTAAAAAAAAACCCATACAAGCCCCAAATAGTATAACCCCTTAACACCTCCCCCTAGTAAAATTTCCCCCTATACATCTACTCCCTACTAGTACTAATCCCCCCTTGTACCCCTACTCCCTACGGGTAAAAATAAACCCGGCTCCCAAACGGGGTACTAAATACCCAAAACCTACTTTCCCCCTATACTTCACCCTATACTCCCTATTTTTCCCTTTACTAGTCAAATACTACCTACTAACCTACTAGTCTACCCCTATACTATCATCAACCTTCAGTAGCGTTAAACACACCACTACTACACACATATATTTGTGTTTCATGTTTTAGCCAATGACCTGAATGTTCCACAATATAATATAATATAATATGCCATTTAGCAGATGAACCAGTCCTCTATAATACAGAGACTTTACAGTCCTGTGTCATTGTTACTGCTGTTTGTTCATTCTGTGGTATATATTCCTGTCTCTGATCATGTCTCTGTTGTGTTTGACCAACGTAGGCCTTCAGGAAGTTTGATGAGATGAACGCCAAGTTGACAGATCAACTACGCAAGCTGGCTAAACAGGTTACCTTCTTCCAGTCTCCTCTTTTTCTGTCATCCTATGTTGTCTGTTTATCCTGTTATCCTGTTGATGTTGTCTGTTTATCCTGTTATCCTGTTAATGCTGTCTGTTTATCCTGTTGATGCTGTCTGTTTATCCTGTTATCCTGTTGATGTTGTCTGTGTTTACTGTTATCCTGTTGATGTTGTCTGTTTATCCTGTTTATCCTGTTATGTGTCTGTTATCCGTGTTGTTCATTGTATGTTTGTCTGTTATCCTGTTCTGTTGAATGTTGTATTTCTGTTATCCTGTTCATGTTGTCTGTTTATCCTGTATCATGTTGATGTTGTCTGTTTATCCTGTTGATGTTGTCTGTTATTCTGTTATCCTGTTCATGTTGTCTGTTTATCCTGTTATCCTGTTGATGTTGTCTGTTTATCCTGTTATCCTCTTGATGTTGTCTGTTTGTCATGTTATCCTGTTGATTTTGTCTGTTATTGTTATCTGTTTATCCTGTTATCCTGTTGATGTTGTCTGTTTGTCCTGTTCATGTTGTCTGTGTATCCTGTTATCATGTTGATGTTGTCTGTTTATCCTGTTCATGTTGTCTGTTTATCCTGTTATCCTGTTCATGTTGGCTGTTTATCCTGTTCATGTTGTCTGTTTATCCTGTTATCCTCTTGATGTTGTCTGTTTATGATGTTATCATGTTATCCTGTTGATGTTGTCTGTTTATCCTGTTATCCTGTTGATGTTGTCTGTTTATCCTGTTGATGTTGTCTGTTTATCCTGTTATCCTGTTGATGTTGTCTGTTTATCCTGTTGATGTTGTCTGTTTGTCCTGTTGATGTTGTCTGTTTGTCTTGTTGATGTTGTCTGTTTATCCTGTTATCCTGTTGATGTTGTCTGTCTATCCTGTTATCCTGTTGATGTTGTCTGTTTATCCTGTTCATGTTGTCTGTTTATCCTGTTCATGTTGTCTGTTTATCCTGTTATCCTGTTGATGTTGTCTGTTTATTACCTGTTGATGTTGTCTGTTTATCCTGTTATCCTGTTGATGTTGTCTGTTTATCCTGTTCATGTTGTCTGTTTATCCTGTTATGGTTGTCTTTTATCTGTTATCTTGTTGATGTTGTCTGGTTATCCTGTTCATGTTGTCTGTTTATCTATCCTGTTCATGTTGTCTGTTTATCCTGTTCATGTTGTCTGTTTATCCTGTTTCATGTTGGTCTGTTTATCCTGTTCTGTGTTGTTATCTGTTCTGTGTCTGTTTATCCTGTTCATGTTGTCTGTTTATCCTGTTCATGTTGTCTGTTTATCCTGTTATCCTCTTGATGTTGTCTGTTTATCATGTTATCCTGTTGATGTTGTCTGTTATTGTTATCTGTTTATGTTTCGTCTGTTGATGTTGTCTGTTTATCCTGTTCATGTTGTCTGTGTATCCTGTTATCATGTTGATGTTGTCTGTTTATCCTGTTGATGTTGTCTGTTTGTCCTGTTGATGTTGTCTGTTTGTCCTGTTGATGTTGTCTGTTTATCCTGTTATCCTGTTGATCCTGTTGTGTTTCTGTCTTATCCTGTTGTTATCCTGTTGATGTTGTCTGTTATCGTATCCTGTTGATGTTGTCTGTTTATATCCTGTTCATGTTGTCTGTTTATCTGTTATCCGTTTCATGTTGTCATCTTTATATCCTGTTCATGTTGTCGTTTATCCTGTTATCCTGTTATGTTGTCTGTTTATCCGTCTGTTATCCTGTTGATGTGTCGTTATCCTGTATCTGTTGATGTTGTCTGGTTATCCTGCATTGATGTTCCTGTTCATGTTGTCTGTTTATCCTGTTCATGTTGTCTGTTTATCCTGTTGATGTTGTCTGTTTATCCTGTTATCCTGTTCATGTTTCTGTTATCCTGTGTCCGTTTGTTTCTGTTTATCCTTCCTGTTATGTGTTTATCCTGTTATCCTGTTCATGTTGTCTGTTTATCCTGTTATCCTGTTCATGTCTGTTTATCCTGTTCATGTTGTCAGTTTATCCCGTTCATGTTGTCTGTTTATCCTTAAAACCAGACTTGGACCACACACCCACTCCACTAAATAGCAGGCTAGTGATTGCTTTGCAATGATTGCAGTTAGCCACTGATTCCTTCCAAACCACTCATTGTAGAATTTGCGATTTCCAACTTGTTGTGTAATGTTTATGTCCAATGGCCGATGGCCGATGAGCACCGATACGTTTGATCTATAATTTCTCTTCATTATTTCTCTTCATATGACAAGATTGAAAAGGATTTGGCAGTAGATTGTCGACTTGATTCATGATGATGACTGCTAGCTTAAGATTTTGAAAGTATGATGTTGACATGATCAGTCCAATCAAAGCTACAGTAGATAGAACGTGATTTGACATCATTTTATCTGTGGCCAATGACCTTGAGCCTTCTTGGATGGGCACTTCTAGCATAACTCTATGGCAGCATCCAAGGGGTGTCACGGATTCTGCCGAGACTGCTCTTCCTTCTGGCTCTGGCAGGCTTCGGCGTTCGTCGTCACCGGAGTACTAGCTGCTGCCGCTCTATGTTATAGGTTTCTATGTTCACTTGATTGTTGTCTGTTGTTGCACACCTGTTCTCCATTATGTTAGTTTGTCTGCCTATTTAACATGTTCACATCCACTGTTTGGTGTGCGTGTTTATTGTATGGTACGAGTGTCATTTTGTGAGCGGGTTTTGCTCCTCCTTTGTTGTTTGGAGGGGTTTTCCTTGTATTTCTTTACTACTCAGTAAAGTGGTTCTTCATCTCATTCTGTGTCCTGCGCTTGACTCTGGCCTACCGCATTCCACTGACATTCGTGACAGAAACACGCACCACTATGGAGTCAGCAGGAGCAGCCGGAGTAACCGAGACGATGGAGGAACGAGTCCAACGTCAGAAAAGAATGATTCAGACTCTCGGGGTCACCATGGAACGAGTATTCCAGACAATGGAACGATGGGAGAGAGGTGGTATTCCGTCACCATCTCCAACCACTCAACCACCTACAACACTGTTCACCGCTTCGCCATCTGGGTCCAGTGGGATTCGGCTCTCGCTCCCGAGGGCATATGACAGAACACCTGCCGGGTGCCAGGGATTTCTCCTCCAGGTCGAGCTGTACCTGGCCACCATTCACCCGGCGCCCTCGGGATACGAGAGCGTGTACGCCCTCATCTCCTGTCTATCGGGGAAGGCGCTGGAATGGGCCAACGCTGAGTGGGGAGGAATAGACGCAAGTACTGTCCACTACGAGGATTTCACCCGCCGCTTCCGGGCGGTATTCGATCATCCACCAGAGGGGAGGGAGGCGGGTGAACATCTGTTCCACCTACGACAGGAGATGAGGAGCGCGCAGGAGTTCACGCTGGAGTTCAGAACTTTAGCAGCCAGCGCGGGATGGAATGAGAGGGCCCTGATCGACCATTATCGCTGCAGCTTAAGGGAGGACGTCCGTCGGGAGCTGGCCTGCAGGGACACCGATCTCACCCTGGACCAACTGGTGGACATGTCCATCAGGTTGGATAACCTGTTGGCAGCCCGCGGACGTTCTGATCGGGGGCCGTCCATTCCATCCCCCAGCACCTCCGAGTCTACACCCATGGAGCTCGGAGGTGCTGCGGTTAGGGAGACGGGGAGAGGGACCGTCCCCTGCACCAACTGTGGCCGCAGAGGACACACTGCTGGTCGGTGCTGGGGAGGGTCCTCAGGAGGTCGAGGCAGCAGGCAGGGCACTGGTCGACCGTCTCAGGTGAGTAGGCACCCGACTCCCCCAGAGCCTCCTGTTGCTAATTTGTGTATAGATATTGTTTTCCCAGAAGTTTCCCCCCATTCCCAGCATAAGGCGCTAGTAGATTCAGGCACGGCTGGGAATTGTATTGATCGCCAGTATGCTCGTAGTTTAGGGATTCCTACGGTGTCTGTTGATAAACCTTTCCCTGTGCCCGCCTTAGATAGTCGCCCGTTAGGGTCAGGCATAATCAGGGAGGTCATCACCCCACTTCTGATGAGGACGCAGGGGGGTCATGAGGAGAGGATTAGCCTCTATCTGATTGATTCTCCTGCGTATCCTGTGGTGTTGGGACTTCCCTGGTTAACCATTCATGACCCCACGATTTCATGGCAACAGAGGGCTCTTAAGGGATGGTCTGGTCAGTGTTCAGGGAGGTGTGTAGGAGTTTCCTTGGGGGCAACTACGGTGGAGAGTCCAAACCAGGTTTCCACTATGCACATTCCTGCCGAGTATGCCGATTTGGCTATCGCCTTCAGTCAGAAGAGGGCGACTAAATTACCACCTCATCGTCCGGGGGATTGCGCGATAAATCTCCAGGTATGAGCTGCACTTCCCCGGAGTCACGTGTATCCTTTGTCTCAGGAGGAGAGGGAGGCTATGGAGACATATGTCACCGAGTCTCTAAGACAGGGATACATTCGGCCATCCACTTCACCTGTCTCCTCAAGATTCTTTTTTGTGAAGAAGAAGGATGGTGGTTAACGCCCGTGCATTGATTACCGTGGCTTAAATCAGATTACCATCAAGTACAGCTATCCATTACCCCTGATAGCTAGTATGACGGAATCATTGCATGGGGCACGCTTCTTCACAAAATTGAATCTCAGGAGCGCGTACAACCTAGTGCGTATCCGGGAGGGAGATGAGTGGAAGACGGCATTTAGTACCACCTCTGGACATTATGAGTATCTTGTCATGCCATACGGGTTAATGAATGCTCCATCAGTCTTCCAATCATTTGTGGATGAGATTTTCAGGGACCTGCACGGACAAGGGGTAGTGGTGTATATTGATGACATACTTATATACTCCACTACAAGGGCCGAGCATGTGTCCCTGGTGCGTAAAGTGCTTGAAAGACTGAGAGCATGACCTGTATGCTAAGGCAGAGAAATGCCTGTTCTTTCAGGAGTCCATCTCCTTCCTAGGGTACCACATGTCCGCGTCTGGGGTGAAGATGGAGAGTGACCGCGTTTCGGCCGTGCGTAATTGGGCGACTCCAAGCACGGTAAAGGAGGTGCAGCGTTTCTTGGGGTTTGCCAACTACTACCGGAGGCTTATCCGGGGCTTTGGTCAGGTAGCGGCTCCCATTACCTCGTTGCTGAAGGGGGGACCGGTGTGTCTGCGGTGGTCAGCTGAGGCGGACAGGGCTTTTAGTCGCCTGAAGGAGCTGTTTACCTTGGCTCCAGTGCTGGCTCATCCGGATCCCTCCTTGGCCTTCACGGTTGAGGTGGATGCATCCGAGGCTGGGATAGGCGCTGTACTTTCCCAGCGCTCGGGCACGCCACCCAAGCTCCGCCCCTGTGCTTTCTTTTCGAAGAAGCTCAGCCCGGCGGAGCGCAACTATGATGTGGGGGACCGGGAGTTGTTGGCGGTGGTCAAAGCCCTGAAGGCGTGGAGACATTGGCTTGAGGGGGCTAAACACCCTTTTCTCATTTTGACTGACCACCGCAATCTGGAGTACATCCGAGTGGCGAAGAGGTTAAACCCTCGCCAGGCAAGGTGGTCCATGTTTCTAACCCGTTTTGTTTTCACCCTTTCTTACAGACCGGGCTCCCAGAATGCTAAGGCAGATGCTCTGTCCCGACTGTATGACACGGAGAAGAGTTCCGTGGAGCCCACTCCCATACTTCCGGCGTCGTGTCTGGTGGTGTGGGAGGTTGACACGGACATCGAGCGGGCGTTACGTAGCGAACCCTCTCCTCCCCAGTGTCCAAAGGGTCGTAAGTACGTACCGCTAGAGGTCCGCGATCGTTTGATTTATTGGGCTCACATGTCACCCTCCTCTGGTCATCCTGGCATCAGTCGGACAGTGACCTGTCTTAGTTGGAAGTACTGGTGGCCCACCTTAGCCAAGGACGTGAGGTTTTATGTTTCCTCCTGCTCGGTGTGCGCCCAGTGTAAGGCTCCTAGACACCTGCCTAGAGGGAAATTACAACCCCTACCCGTTCCACAACGACCGTGGTCCCACCTATCGGTGGATTTTATGACTGATCTTCCTCCCTCAAGGGGGAACACAACCATCCTGGTTTTCTAAGTCCTGTCGCCTCCTTCCTCTGCCGAGGCCCTGCTTACACACGTCTTCCGGCACTACGGGGTGCCTGAGGATATAGTGTCTGATCGGGGTCCCCAGTTCACCTCAAGGGTGTGGAGGGCGTTCATGGAACAGTTGGGGATCTCGGTTAGCCTTACCTCAGGTTTTCACCCCGAGAGTAACGGGCAGGTGGGAGAGAATTAACCAGGAGGTGGGTAGGTTTCTGAGGTCGTATTGCCAGGACCGGCGAGGGGAGTGGTCGGTTTTCCTACCCTGGGCAGAGATGGCTATAAACTCCAACCGCCACTCCTCAACTGACCTCATACCATTCCAGTGTGTGTTAGGTTATCAGCCGGCCCTGGCACCATGGCATCAGAGCCAGATCGAGGTACCTGCGGTGGACCAGTGGGTTCGGCGCTCGCAGGAGACCTGGGACGCTACACATGAACGCCTGCAGCGGCCCAGCAGGCGTCAGAAGGCGAGCGCCGACCGCTACCGCAGTGAAGCTCCGGTGTATGCACCGGGGTACCGGGTCTGGCTCTCGACCCGAAACCTGCCCCTTCGCCTGCCCTGCCGGAAGTTGGGTAGGCGGTTTGTGGGCCCATTTAAAGTCCTGAGGAGATTGAACGAGGTATGTTATAGGTTACAACTTCCTGTTAATTATCGTATTAACCCCTCGTTCCATGTGTCTCTCCTCAGGCCGGTGGTAGCTGGTCCACTCCAGGAATCTGAGATACGGGAGGTTCCTCCGCCCCCACTGGACATCGAGGGGGCACCGGCGTACTTGGTCCGTTCCATCCTGGATTCGAGGTGTCGGGTGGGGGGCCTGCAGTATCTCGTGGAGTGGGAGGGATACGGTCCGGAGGAGCGGTGCTGGGTTCCTAGGAGGGATATCCTCGATCCCTCCTTGTTGAGAGAATTCCATCAGAACCATCCCACTAGCGCCGCGTCCTCCTGGCCGTCCCCGAGGCCGGGGTCGATGCACGACTGGAGCCGCGCGTTACTGTCACGGATTTAGCCGAGACTGCTCTTCCTTCTGGCTCGGGCAGGCTTCGGCGTTCGTCGTCACCGGAGTGCTAGCTGCTGCCGCTCTATGTTATATGTTTCTATGTTCACTTGATTGTTGTCTGTTGTTGCACACCTGTTCCCCATTATGTTAGTGTGTCTGCCTATTTAACCTGTTCACGTCCACTGTTTGGTGTGCATGTTTATTGTATGGTACGAGTGTCATTTTGTGAGCGGGTTTTGCTCCTCCTTTGTTGTTTGGAGGGTTTTTCCTTGTATTTCTTTACTACTCAGTAAAGTGGTTCTTCATCTCATTCTGTGTCCTGCGCTTGACTCTGGCCTACCGTATTCCACCGACATTCGTGACAAGGGGCTTGAATTTTTTCGAGCTCTCTGCCCCACCTGCCCTGAATGGCGGGGCGCCACTGTGTTATTATTGGAGAGAACAACATGCATTAAATTGCAATAATAAAGCATCCATTCCAAACCCTGTTTGTCCACAGTCAACAACAGGAAGCCAGGCTAGCCCGTAACCTGTGTGTAATCTTTGTCTCTAAGGTGCAGGAAGCCAGGCTAGACCGTGATAACGAAGCCTTGAAGAAGACCCTCCAGGACTACGATGAGATGGTGGAGAAGTGAGTAGACCCTGCCCCTACTGAGTATTCTCCTGTCTGATTGGTGGCGTACCTCACCTTTCTCTTCCCTGATTGGTGGCTTACCTCACCTACTCTGCTGGTTGGTCAGTTTGGTCCATTATTCTTCCTGATCAGTGGCTGGTCTGGCCCTTCTCCATTTCTGATTGTCTGAATGGTACATTACCTCTACTTCCATATTGGTGCCTTGACCTCACCCAGGCTAAGATCTACTGGTATATAACTGGTATATAACTGTTGTCCTATCTTGTAGGTACATCCCAGTGCTGATGACCCAGGCTAAGATCTACTGGTATATAACTGTTGTCCTATCCTGTAGGTACATCCCAGTGCTGATGGCCCAGGCTAAGATCTACTGGTATATAACTGTTGTCCTATCCTGTAGGTACAGTACCAGTCAAACGTTTGGACACACCTACTCATTCCAGGGTTTTTCTTTATTTTTACAATTTTTTTACATTGTAGAATAATAGTGAAGACATCAAAACTATGAAATAACACATATGGAGTCATGTAGTAACCAAAAAAGTGTTAAACAAATGAAAATATATTGTATATTTGAGATTCTTCAAATAGCCACACTTTGCCTTGATGACAGCTTTGCACACTCTTGGCATTCTCTCAACCAGCTTCATGAGGTAGTCACCTGGAATGCATTTCAATTAACAGGTGTGCCTTGTTAAAAGTTAATTTGTGGAATTTCTTTCCTTCTTAATGCGTTTGAGCCAATCAGTTGTGTTGTGACAAAATTTCAGTCAGTGCAGTCGTAAAACCCATCAAGTGCTATGATGAAACTGGGTCTCATGAGGACCGCCACAGGAAAGGAAGATCCAGAGTTACCTCTGCTGCAGAGGATAAGTTCATTAGAGTTAACTGCACCTCAGATTGCAGCCCAAATAAATGCTTCACAGAGTTCAAGTAACAGACACATCTCAACATCAACTGTTTAGAGGAGACTGCGTGAATCAGGCCTTCACGGTCGAATTTCTGCAAAGAAACCACTACTAAAAGACACCAATAAGAAGAAGAGTCTTGATTGGGCCAAGAAACACGAGCAATGGACATTAGACTGGTGGAAATCTGTCCTTTGGTCTGATGAGTCCAAATTTGAGATTTTTGGTTCCAACCGTCGTGTCTTTGTGGTTCCCACCGTGAAGCATGGAGGAGGAGGTGTGATGGTGTGGGGGTGCTTTGCTGGTGACACTGTCTGTGATTTATTTAGAATTCAAGGCACACTTAACCAGCATGGCTACCACAGCATTCTGCAGCGATACGCCATCCCATCTGGTTTGCGCTTAGTGGGACTATCATTTGTTTTTCAACAGGACAATGACCCAAAACACACCTCCAGGCTGTGTAAGGGCTATTTGAGACCAAGAAGGAGAGTGATGGAGTGCTGCTTCAGATGACCTGGCCTCCACAATCACCCGACCTCAACCCAATTGAGATGGTTTGGGATGAGTTGGACCGCAGAGTGAAGGAAAAGCAGCCAACAAGTGCTCAGCATATGTGGGAACTCCTTCAAGACTGTTGGAAAAGCATTCCAAGTGAAGTGAAGCATTCTACCACTCTAAATTCCAAGCATCTGCCTCTAACCCTAGGATGCTCTTTGCCACCTTCTCTTCCCTGCTGAATCCTCCTCCCCCTCCCCCCCCTCCTCCCTCTCTGTGGATGACTTCGTCAACCATTTTGAAAAGAAGGTTGTCGACATCCGATCCTCGTTTGTTAAGTCAAATGACACTGCTGGTCCTGCTCACACTGCCCTACCCTATGCTTTGACTTCTTTCTCCCCTCTCTCTCCAGATGAAATCTTGCGACTTGTGGCGGCCGGCCGCCCAACAACCTGCCCGCTTGACCCTATCCCCTCCTCTCTTCTCCAGACCATCTCCGGTGACCTTCTCCCTTACCTCACCTCGCTCATCAACTCATCCTTGACCGCTGGCTATGTCCCTTCCGTCTTCAAGAGAGCGAGAGTTGCACCCCTTCTCAAAAAACCAACACTCGATCCCTCTGATGTCAACAACTATAGACCAGTATCCCTTCTTTCTTTTCTCTCCAAAACTCTTGAGCGTGCCGTCTTTAGCCAACTCTCTTGCTATCTCTCTCAGAATGACCTTCTTGATCCAAACCAGTCAGGTTTCAAGACTGGTCATTCAACTGAGACTGCTCTTCTCTGTGTCACGGAGGCTCTCCGCACTGCTAAAGCTAACTCTCTCTCCTCTGCTCTTGTCCTTCTAGACCTGTCTGCTGCCTTTGATACTGTGAACCATCAGATCCTCCTCTCCACCCTCTCCGAGTTGGGCATCGCCGGCGCGGCTCACTCTTGGATTGCGTCCTACCTGACCGGTCGCTCCTACCAAGTGGCGTGGCGAGAATCTGTCTCCGCACCACGTGCTCTCACCACTGGTGTCCCCCAGGTCTCAGTTCTAGGCCCTCTCCTATTCTCGCTATACACCAAGTCACTTGGCTCTGTCATATCCTCACATGGCCTCCTATCATTGCTGCGCAGACGACACACAACTAATCTTCTCCTTTCCCCCTTCTGATAACCAGGTGGCGAATCGCATCTCTGCATGTCTGGCAGACATATCAGTGTGGATGACGGATCACCACCTCAAGCTGAACCTCGGCAAGACGGAGCTGCTCTTCCTCCCGGGGAAGGACTGCCCGTTCCATGATCTCGCCATCACGGTTGACAACTCCGTTGTATCCTCCTCCCAGAGTGCCTGCTGGCCCCCCTACCTCTGCGGAAGCACAGTTCCCGCTCAGCCCAGTCAAAACTGTTTGCTGCTCTGGCACCCCAATGGTGGAACAAGCTCCCTCACGACGGCAGGACAGCGGAGTCACTCACCACCTTCCGGAGACACTTGAAACCCCACCTCTTTAAGGAATACCTGGGATAGGATAAAGTAATCCTTCTACCCCCCCCCCCCCCCCCCCCCCCAAAAAAAAAATGTTAAAAAATAAAACATATTGTAAAGTGGTTATCCCACTGGCTATAAGGTCAATGCAACAATTTGTAAGTCGCTCTGGATAAGAGCGTCTGCTAAATGACGTAAATGTAAATTATGTAATGAAGCTGGTTGAGTGAATGCCAAGAGTGTGCAAAGCTGTCATCAAGGCAAAGGGTGGCTACTTTGAAGAATCTAAAATGTAAAATATATTTTGATTTGTTTAACACTTTTTGGGTTACTACATGATTCCATATGGGTTATTTCATAGTTTTGATGTCTTCACTATTATTCTACATTGTAGAAAATAGTACAAATAAAGAAAAACCCTTGAATGATTAGGTGTGGCCAAACCTTTGACTGGTACTGTACATCCCAGTGCTGATGACCCAGGCTAAGATCTACTGGTATATAACTGTTGTCCTATCCTGTAGGTACATCCTAGTGCTGATGACCCAGGCTAAGATCTACTGGTATATAACTGGTATATAAACTGTTGTCCCGTCTTGTAGGTACATCCCAGTGCTGATGGCCCAGGCTAAGATCTATTGGTATATAACTGGTATATAACTGTTGTCCCGTCCTGTAGGTACATCCCAGTGCTGATGGCCCAGGCTAAGATCTACTGGAACAGGGAGAACTACCAGATGGTTGAGAAGATCTTCCGTAAGTCGGTGGAGTTCTGTAACGAACACGACACCTGGAAGCTCAACGTGGCTCACGTGCTCTTCATGCAGGAGAACAAGTACAAGGAGGCCATTGGCTTCTACGAACCCATCGTTAAGAAACACTACGACAACGTGAGTTAACTAGAGAGGGAGGGATCACATACAATACCATTTGAATGTGCACGGCCCGCCTTAGATGGTTCTGTTCAGAAATCCCCTGTAGTGGACTACTGTTGACCATAGCCGTATAGACTACAGGAGAATAGGAGGTGTTGAAATGAAACATGTCTCTGTTTCCATTCCCCCTGCTGGCTACATAGCTGGAACAGTGTAACATACAGGAGTGTCCCTGCCAACGTAAACCCTCGGTAACACACACACACACACCCACGCCCCTGTACCCCAGTCTCACCACTGGTGGCAGAGGGCAGTGACTCTGAATGCAGTGGTCAGTCTCACACCTGGGCTAAGTCCCAAATGGCACCATATTCCCTACAAAGTGCACTACTTTTGCCCATTGCCCATAGCACTCTGGTCAAAGGTAGTGCACTATGTAGGGAATAGGGTGCCATTGGGGACTCTCTGATTGCTGTGTCTCATCTCGCAGATACATTTGTGTTTTCTTTTTCTGGATGATAAGTGTTGAATATCCACAGTTTTTACCACGCAGGTCGCCCTTACTCCCAAATGTTCTTCTGACTGATCTCTGACTGATTTGACTGATCCTCTTCTCTTCTCCTCTCTCTCCTCTCTCCTCTCCTCACCTCTCCATCGAACGCTCTCCTCTCCTCGTCTACTCAGATCGCTCTCAATCCCCTCATCTCTCTCTCTCTCGTCTCTCTCCTCTCTCTCTCTGCTCGTACTATCTCACTCCGCTCTCCCGTCTCTCACTCCTCCCTCATCCTCTCCCTCTCTTCACTCAATCTCTCTCATCTATCTCCTCTGCAATCTCTCCCTCTTCTCATCCATTTCTCGTCTCTCTCATCTCTCCTCTCATGCCCTCAGTCACCGTTCTCTCCATACGATCCACGATCTTCGTCTCCTCGCCTCGCCCTTCCTCGCTCAGTAGTATCGCCCAGACCGAGTGACAGTCTCTCCACTCGTGCAACTCGCTCCCCCCCCCGTCAGCTCAGAACTCTCGCCCTCGTGCCATAGGACAGTGTTTCGGGTTGGGGATCTGTTCGCTCTCGAGTCTCTCCCCTTGCTCCCGTCCTCCAATCTGAGACTCCACGTCCCTCCGTTGGCACTCTCTCCCCGGCTCTCGTCTCTCATCGTCGTCTCCAATGCTGGATCGGCGGTACAGGGTCTCTCACTCGTTCCTTGCCCTTCTCACCTTCTCCCTACGCTCGTCCCTGCCCGACAATCCGCTCCCGATCTCGTCGTCGGATCGTCTTTCCCCACTCTCTGCTCTCTCTCTCTTTTTCTCTCATGCCCTCCTGTTCCTTGGGGCCGCTGTACTGGCTAACCTGTTTGTGTGCCGATCTCATGACCAGCCAGAACGAAAGAGGTATGAGTAGTGTGTGAAGTATAAAGCACAGTGTAACATCTGAGCCCACCAGTGTTCTTGTAACGCTGTTCTCCTCAGGCTGAAGAACTGATGAGGAAGATAGAAAAAGAGGAAGAGGAGCTCTCCTACGACGACCCCGATAAGAAAGTCTTCCACCTCTGTATAGTCAACCTGGTTATAGGGTGAGTTGTATTTACATGGTAAAGGCGTTCAGCGTTGTAGTGGAGGGTGAACTTACGGAAACGCTGTTTACCCACCTTTTGGGGCAAAATGCATTGAAAGTGTAGGGAGCTTTGGGGCAAAATGCATTGAAAGTGTAGAGAGCTTTACTTCACTCACTGTGTAGAGTGATCAGAGTTTACCCACCTATTGTTTTAACACTACATCACAGGTACAGTGTTACTACAGTGTGTTAATGAATAGTGTTTCTATCTCTCTTCCAGGACCCTGTACGGTGTTAATAGTGTTTATATATCTCTTCCAGGACCCTGTACTGTGTTAATAGTGTTTATATCTCTCTTCCAGGACCCTGTACTGTGTTAGTGTTTATCTCTCTTCCAGGACCCTGTACTGTTTTAATAGTGTTTATATCTCTCTTCCAGGACCCTGGACTGTGTTAATAGTGTTAATGTCTCTTCCAGGACCCTGTACGGTGTTAATAGTGTTTATATATCTCTTCCAGCCCGGTACTGTGTTACTATTGTTTGCTCTCTCCAGGACCCTGTACGGTGTTAATAGTGGTTATATCTCTCCTCCATGACACTATAACTGTGTTAATAGTGTTTTATATATCTCTTCTCTTCCAGACCTGCACTGTGTTAATGTGTTTAGATCACTCTCTTCCAGACCCTTCTGTGTTAATAGTGTTTTGTCCTTCCAGGACCCTGTAATTGTTAATGTGTTTATATCTCTCTCCAGGACCCTGTACTGTGTTATTGTTTTTATCCCTCTCCAGGACCCTGTACTGTGTTAATATTGTTTTATATGTTCTTCTTATCTTCCAGTACCCTGTACTGTGTTAATAGTGTTTGTCTCTCCAGGACCCTGTACTGTGTTAATAGTGTTTATATCTCTCTTCCAGGACCCTATACTGTGTTAATAGTGTTTATATATCTCTTCCAGGACCCTGCACTGTGTTAAAGTGTTTTATCTCTCTCTTCCAGGACTTGTACTGTGTTATAGTGTTTATTGTCTTTTCAGGACCCTGTACTGTGTTAATATAGTGTTATATCTCTCTTCCAGGACCCTATACTGTGTTAATAGTGTTTATATATCTCTTCCAGGACCCTGCACTGTGTTAATAGTGTTTATATCTCTCTTCCAGGACCCTGTACTGTGTTAGGTGTTTATCTCTCTTCCAGGACCCTGTACTGTGTTAGTGTTTATCTCTCTTCCAGGACCCTGTACTGTGTTAATAGTGTTTATGTTTCTTCCAGGACCCTGTACTGTGTTAATAGTGTTTTCTCTTCCAGGACCCTGTACTGTGTTAATAGTGTTTATATCTCTCTTCCAGGACCCTATACTGTGTTAATAGTGTTTTATATATCTCTTCCAGGACCCTGCACTGTGTTACTAGTTTCTTATATCATCTCGTCTTCCAGGACCCTGTTACTGGTGTTAGTGTATTATCTCCTCCTTCCAGGACCCTGTACTGTATGTTATGTTACTCTCTCTCTCGTCCAGGACCCTGTACTGTTTAAAGTGTTTTAGCTGTTTCTTCCCAGGAGACCCTGTAGCTGTGTTAATAGGGTTTGTCTCTTCCAGGACCCTGTACTTGTTAATAGTGTTTATATCTCTATTTCCGATCCAGGACCCTATACTGTTTAATAGTGTTTATATATCTCTGTCCCACCTCTTGTTGCCATGACCCGCACATGTGTTAATGGTGTTTATTCTCTCTTCCAGACCCTGTACTGTGGTATATGTTTTAGTCCTCTTCCAGACCCTGTACGTGTTTAATATGTTTGTCTCTTCAGGACCCTGTACTGTGTTAAGAGTGTTTTGTCTCTTCCAGACCACCTGTACTGTTTTAGTGTTTAGCTCTCTTCCAGGACCCTATACTTACTGTGGTACATATGTGTTCACATATATCCTCTTTCCCGGACCACCGCACTGTGTTAATGGTGTTTATATCTACTCTTCCAGGACCTATATAACTGTGTTCAGGATGTGCTTTTTATATCTCTTTTCCTCCAGGACCCTCACTGTGTTAATAGTGTTTGTCCCGTCCAGGGACCCTTACTGTGTAATAGTGTTTGTCTGGTTTCCATGACCCTGTACTGTGTTAGTGTTTATATCTCTCTTCCAGGACCCTGTATGTGTTTAATAGTGTTTATATCTCTCTTCCAGATCCTGTACTGTGGTTAGTGTTTATCTCTCTTCCAGGACCTGTTACTGTGTTAATAGTGTTTAATATTATAGCTCTCTTCCAGGAGACCCTGTACTGTGTTAATCGTGTTTATGTCTCTTCCAGGACCCTGTACGGTGTTAATAGTTTTTATATGTCTCTTCCAGAAACCATGTACTGTGTTTATGTGTTTATTATTCCTCTTCCAGACCCTGTACGGTGTTAATAGTGTTGGTCTCTTCCAGGACCCCTGTACTGTGTTAATAGTGTTTATATCTCTCTTCCAGGACCTGTACGTTTTGAGTGTTTATCTCTCTTCCCAGGACCTGGACTGTGTAAAGTGTTTATATGTCGCTGTCCATGAACCCTTACTGTGTTCTAGTGTTTAGATCTCTTCCCTTCCAGATCCTGTACTGTGTTATAGTTTTTGTCTTATGGTCTCTTCCAGGACCCTGGCTGTGTTAATAGTGTTTATATTGTCGCTCCAGGACCCTGGTACTGTGTTATAGTGTTTATATCTCTTCTTCCAGGACCCTGTACTGTGTTTAATAGTGTTTATAATTATCTCTCCTTCCAGGACTATAACTGTGCGTTTGTCATAGTGTTTTATATATGTCTTCCAGGACCCTGCACTGTGTTAATAGTGTTTATATCTCTCTTCCAGGACCCTATACTGTGTTAATAGTGTTTATCTCTCTTCCAGGACCCTGCACTGTGTTAATAGTGTTTATATCTCTCTTCCAGGACCCTGTACTGTGCTAAGGGGAACTACGACTTCGGTATCACCCGTGTCATCAAGAGTCTGGAACCGTACAACAAGAAGGTCGGACATCTTTTTTCTATCTGGCTGTTCTGGATCGTTTTTGAATGTTTCTACCACTTCCAACAACTCACCCCTGACATACATGTTGGGGCCGCGTCCCAAATGACACCCTATCCCCTATATAGTGCACTACTCTGTTTAAAAGTAGTGCACTATATAGGGAACAGGGTGCCATTTGGGACACACATCCAGAGTGTTTGATCTATGTTTAGATATCGGCCAACCGAAACATAACCCAGAGTTCAGCACCAGTGTCCGCTCACTCAGCCCGGCTGAACACACACAGAGTGTCTCTGTAGGAGTGTTGTTGTCATTCCTAGAACTCTATGAACCACACACCGAGCTAAACTTCAGCCACTGCACTTCAGCCACGCTCAAGGTCCTAAACGATATTATAACCGCGATTGATAATACACAGTACTGTGCAGCCGTCTTCATCGACCTGGCCAAGGCTTTCGACTCTGTCAACCACCGCATTCTTATTGGCAGACTAAATAGCCTTGGTTTCTCAAATGACTGCCTCGCCTGGTTCACCAACTACTTCTCAGATAGAGTTCAGTGTGTCAAATCGGAGGGCCTGTTGTCTGGACCTATGGCAGTCTCTATGGGGGTGCCACAGGGTTCAATTCTTGGGCCGACACTTTTCTCCGTGTATATCAATGATGTCGCTCTTGCTGCTGGTGACTCTCAGATCCACCTCTACGCAGACGACACCATTTTGTATACATCTGGCCCTTTATTGGACACTGTGTTAACAAACCTCCAAACGAGCTTCAATGCCATACAACACTCCTTCAGTAGCCTCCAACTGCTCTTAAACACTAGTAAAACTAAATGCATGCTTTTCAATCGAACGCTGCTGGCACCCGCCCACCCGACTAGAATCACCACTCTCGACGGGTCTGACCTAGAGTATGTGGACAACTACAAATACCTAGGTGTCTGGTTAGACTGTAAACTCTCCTTCCAGACTCACATAAAGAATCTCCAATCCAAAGTTAAATCTAGAATCGGCTTCCTATTTCGCAACAAAGCCTCCTTCACTCATGCTGCCAAACATGCCCTCGTAAAACTGACTATCCTACCGATCCTTGACTTCGGCGATGTCATTTACAAAATAGCCTCCAACACTCTACTCAGCAAATTGGATGTAGTCTATCACAGTGCCATCCGTTTTGTCTCCAAAGCCCCATACACTACCCACCACTGTGACCTGTACGCTCTTGTTGGCTGGTCCTCACTACATGTTCGTCGTCAAACCCACTGGCTCCAGGCCATCTATAAATCACTGCTAGGCAAATCCCCGCCTTATCTTAGCTCATTGGTCACCATAGCAGCACCCACCCGTTAGTCTGCGCTCCAGCAGGTATATCTCACTGGTCATTCCCAAAGCCAACACCTCCTTTGGCCGCCATTCCTTCCAGTTCTCTGCTGCCAATGACTGGAACGAATTGCAAAAATCTCTGAAGCTGGAGACTCTTATCTCCCTCACTAACTTTAAGCATCAGTTGTCAGAGCACCTTACCAATCACTGCACCTGTACACAGCCCATCTGAAATTAGCCCACCCAACTACCTCATCCCTATATTGTTATTTATTTTGCTCTTTTGCACCCCAGTATCTCTATTTGCACATAATCTCTTGCACATCTAGCATTCCAGTGTTAATACTATTGTAATAATTTTGCACTATAGCCTATTTATTGCCTTACCTCCATAACTTGCTACATTTGCACACACTGTATATATATTTTCTGTTGTATTTTTGACTTTATGTTTTTTACCCCATATGTAACTCTGTGTTGTTTTTATCGCACTGCTTTGCTTTATCTTGGCCAGGTCGCAGTTGTAAATGAGAACTTGTTCTCAACTGGCTTACCTGGTTAAATAAAGGTGAAATAAAAAATTAAAAATTCCGGTAACTTTCCCAACATTTCCAGCAATCCTGGTTGGATGATACCCAGAATCAGGAGTGATTTAAGAAGGAAATCCCAAATCGTCTGACCAGGATTTCAGGAAAACCTGTGCATTTTTGGTTTGCTTACGGGAGTTTGGCACCCCTATCCTATCCTCCTCTCATGGTTCTCCTCCTGTGTGTGTAGCTGGGAACAGACACCTGGTTCTATGCTAAGCGCTGTTTCCTGTCTCTGCTGGAAAACATGGCCAAACACATGATCATGATCAGGGACTCAGTTGTTCAGGAGTGTATTCAGTTCCTGGAGCACTGCGAAGGTAAGGACACACACACACACACACACACACACACCACACACACACACACAGTTTAAACACACCATTTACCCTCCCACGTTCTTACCCACCGTTCGTCTCTCCCTCTCCCTACTCTCTCCCTCTCCCTCTCCCTCTCCCTCTCTCCCCCTCCTCCCTCTCCTCCCTCTTCCTCCCTCCCTCTCTCCCCTCTCTCCCCTCTCCCTCTCCCTCCTCTCTCCCCCCCTCTCTCCCCTTCCTCCCTCTCCTCCCCTCTCTCCCCCCCTCCCTCTCTCTCCCCCCCTCCCTCTCTCCCTGTAGTGTATGGTAAGACAGAGCCAGCCATGATAGAACAGCCACTGGAGGAGGACAGGATGCACATAGGAAAGAACACCGTCACCTACGAGTCTCGCCTGCTCAAAGCACTCTTCTACGAGGTCATCGGATGGAACCAGTGATGTCATACTAGAACAGAACAGAGCCTGTGATGTCATCGCACGGAACCCAGTGATGTCATCGGACGTAACCAGTAGTGTACACTAAAGACTTTTAAAACCTTTTTTACTCCCCCACCAGTTCAAATCTATCAACATGGACCACATCACATTAGTTATTATAGTACTGCCCCATCAGTTCAAATCTATCAACATGGACCACATCACATTAGTTATTATAGTACTGCCCACTGCATCAGATGAAAGTTACAAGCTGTTGTTCTGATGCTGTTGAGCATATTCTAGACTCACTCCTCGTCTCTCACACACACACACACTCACAGCCACACACACACACTCACATAGTGGGAGAACCCATGGGGCCTCATCAATTTGACCATCTTTAGTTTAGTTGGGCCCAGAGAACTGTTGACAGACTGAGAAAAACACCTTTCTACATATATTATTATTATTATTACACTAAACAAAAATATAAACGCAAGATGCAACTATTTACAGTTTTTTTTCAATTGTTTAAGCATAATTTTGAAAACAGGGCCCGGTTTGTCAAAACACTACACACAATTAGCACAACCCTACACCAAAGTAGCACAACACTTCAGATCATTTGCAAAATGGAACACTTTTGTCAAAACTATACACGACTTCATAAAAACAATATTTTGTTACCATACGAAATACACACATTTCATATGACTTCAATCTTTTTGAACCAGTTACACACTGCTGTTGCTAACCTAAAACACTTTTAGCAAGTCTAATTCTCAGTGATTAGAGTGCTGTAAATGAAGTACACAGAGAAAGTGCAACTATACAAACACTACACAAGACCAATGCTGCAGACTGAGGAAAATATCATTTATTTCTCTCCATATACCCAAATCAGTCAACATGTCAACATGGAGAATCACAACAAAACATGTCCCAGTTTTCATGCTACTACAGTAGTGTGCATAACACTGTTAGCTCAGCAAACAACAGACAAACGTAAAATACTGTATCCAGTACAGGTTACAATTACAGTAAATAACAACAACAACAAACATACTATACATTATCTCTTCGCCTAGCTGGATCTGGCCAGAGAATTTCATCAACATCACAAGCAATATCCTCATTAGCAAGACAACGCGGGAAGAAACATCTTGAATGTCGAATCCATCCTTGCACAGCTGCGGCGTCGACTTGGTCACAGGCGTCCTCCATGGGCTGAATGAGGGGTACCTGAGCCTGGGGCTGGAGATCGTAAACCTTCCACCGCCATGCAGTGAAAAACTCTTCGATAGGGTTTAGAAACTGAGAGTATGGTGGAAGGTATAGTACTGTCAACTGTGGATGGTGTTGAAACCAGTTCTGGACCAAAGCAGAGCGGTGGAATGACACATTGTCCCAGATGACAGTGTATTGCATCTGGTGCATTTCATAACCTGCTGTGACGATGTGGTGCAATCGGTCCAAAAATGCGAGAATATGAGGTGTGTTGTAAGGGCCCATTTTGGCATGACGGAGGAGAACCCCATGCTGTGAAATGGCAGCACAAAGGGTGATGTTACCCCCACGTTGCCCTGGGACATTGATTATAGCCCTGTGGCCAATGATATTTCTGCCTCTCCTTCTTGCTTTTGTGAGGTTGAACCCTGCCTCATCAATATATATGAATTCATGCAGGATTTCATCAGCATCCATCTGCAAAACTCTCTGAAATACAGTGAAAGACAAGATTGTGTAGTTCAGGATAAGTCTAGTATACAGTCAATGTAAAAAAGTAATGTGTGCAGTATGCAACATCACAGTGCTAAAGTGAACAATACAAACCTCCACATACTCATGCCGCAGCCGTTTGACCCTCTCTGAATTCTGCTCAAAAGGCACTCGATAAAGTTGTTTCATTTGAACCTGATGTCTTTTCAGGATGCGTGCCAGTGTTGACTGAGAGACCTGATGGACATTATTGAAAATGCATGGTCACCGATAATGTTGGCTTGTAGTTCTCTGAGCCTGATAGCATTATTGGCCAAAACCATGTTTATTATCTCTCTCTCTTGTTCTTGCGTGAATATGGGCCCCCTTCCTCCTTGTCGTTCCCGACCCTCAATCCTATGTAGAGAATAATACATGTAACTTACTGTACAATGTCACAGGAAGGGGTATCACAAGTGCTGATATGGTGCGTACAATAAGCGGCTGATTACTGTAACTGTAGACAGATCTTCTTTTACCCGTTTTCCTGTCGAAAAGTCCTTATGACAGATGCCACTGTATATCTGCTAAGATTTGGCTGAACTCTCAGTCCAGCCTCCCTCAGCGTCAATCCGTGGTTCACAAAATGGTCCACTAGTGTTGCACGAATGTCATTTAATAAGTTTGGTCCTCTTCTTCTTTGTGCACGTTCTCCTCCTGCTTCAGTTCTTCCTCGACCTCTGGCTCTGCCTCTTCCTCTACCTCCTTCTCCTCCTCTGTGTACTCCTCCTCTCACCCTCACTCTTCTTCTGACTCTTTCCATTTTGGTTGAAGGCAGTTGAACCTACCTGCTGCATTTTTATAGTGCTTAAACCTGATTGGTGTGTCTACAATTTAGCAATCATGTGTTTGTGCACCTGATGGCTGTGTTTAACAGATTGGCTCATAGGTGTGGTAATTTGACAGTCAGTGCTTTAGAATTGCAAGGAAGTGACATGATATATTTCTGTGTCTGATGTATACTAGTGTTTTGCAAATCACTGTGTGTAATGTTTTGCAAATAGTGTGACGCTGACAATGTGCTTACAGTTGTGCAAATCTAGCCTTGTGTTTTGCTCCTTGAGTGTAAGGTTTTGCTAATTGTGGGAAAAGTTTAATTTTAGTGTGTAAGCAATTGTAAAAAACTGTAAAAGATTTTACTGAGTTACAGTTCATATAAGGAAATCAGTCAATTGAAATAAATTCATTAGGCCCTGATCTATGGATTTCACATGACTGGGAATACAGATATGCATCTGTTGGTCACAGATACCTTTTTTTTTTTTTTTAGGTAGGCGCGTGGATCAGTCAGTATCTGCGCGACACATCTCCATCACATAGAGTTGATCAGGCTGTTGATTGTGGCCTGTGGAATGTTGTGATATGAGGCCTTGCATTATCATGCTGAAACATGAGGTGATGGCGGCGGATGAATGGCACGACAATGGGCCTCAGGATCACGTCACGGTATCTCTGTGCATTCAAATTGCCATTGATAAAATGCAATTACCGTATTTTCCGCACTATAAGGCGCACCGGAGTATAAGCCGCAGCAGCTAAATTGAATGATATTGAATGATGTGTACATATATAAGCCGCACTGGACTATAAGCCGCAGGTGTTTTAATGTTTAATTACCATATGTAAGGGTTCGTGCACAGAGGGGATTGTCGGGAAAGAGACAAACTGTCTCGATCTCGTAATGTCTGTCTGTCTTGCTCTCGTTCTGTCTCTCGTTCTGTCTCTCGTACCACTCTCGGTTCCACTTTTACTTTTGCGCGCTACCTGTCTCACTCTTTTCCGGCCTCCAGCTTTTCCTGCTGGAGCCCGCCGCTTAAAGGTGGGGGGCGCGGACCGGTCATAGAGCCCATAGAGTTAAAGTTGGTGGACTGTAACCTGTAAAATACATAGATTTAGGAGGTCTTCTAGTGGCCGTTAGCTGTAAAAATCCATAGATTAGCCGCACCGTTATATAAGCCGCAGGGTCGGAAAAATTGGGAAAAAAGGCGCGGCTTATAGTCTGAAAATTACGGTATGTTCTTTGTCCGTAGCTTATGCCTGCCCATACCATAACCCCACCGCCACCATGGGGCACTCTGTTCACAACATTGACATCAGCAAACCGCTCGCCCACACTACACCGTCTGCCATCTGCCCGGTATAGTTGAAATCTGGATTAATCCGTGAAGAGCACACTTCTCCAGCGTGCCAGTGGCCATCGAAGGTGAGCATTTGCCCACTGAAGTCAGTTACGACGCCAAACTGCAGTCAGGTCAAGACCCTGGTGAGGACGACGAGCACACAGATGAACTTCCCTGAGACGGTTTCTGACTGTTTGTGCAGAAATGATTTGGTTGTGCAAACCTACAGTTTCATCAGGTGGCTGGTCTCAGACGATTCCGCAGGTGAAGAAGTTGGATGTGGAGGTCCTGGGCTGGCGTGGTTACACGTGGTCTGTGGTTTTGAGGCCGGTTGGACGTGCTGCCAAATTCTCTAAAACAACATTGGAGGCGGCTTATGGTAGAGAAAGCAACATTCAAATCTCTGGCAACAGCTCTGGTGTACATTCCTGCAGTCAGCATGCCAATTGCACGCTCCCTCAAAACATGAGACATTTGTGGCATTGTGTTGTGTGACAAAACTGCACATTTTAGAGTGACCTTTTATTGTCCCCAGCACAAGGTGCACCTGTGTAATGATCATGCTGTTTAATCAGCTTCTTGATATGCCACACCTGTCAGGTGGATGGATTATCTTGGCAAAGGAGAAATGCTCACTAACAGGGATGTAAAAAAAAATTGTGCACAAAATTTGAGAGAAAGAAGCTTTTTGTGCATATGGAAAATTCCGGGGATATTTTATTTCAGCTCATGAAACATGGTACCAACATTTTAAATGTTGCGTTTATATTTTTGTTCAGTGTATATATATATATATATATATATACACACAGTGGGGGAAAAAAGTATTTAGTCAGCCACCAATTGTGCAAGTTCTCCCACTTAAAAAGATGAGAGAGGCCTGTAATTTTCATCATAGGTACACGTCAGCTATGACAGACAAAATGAGAAAAAAAATCCAGAAAATCACATTGTAGGATTTTTTATGAATTATATTTGCAAATTATGGTGGAAAATAAGTATTTGGTCAATAACAAAAGTTTCTCAATACTTTGTTATATACCCTTTGTTGGCAATGACACAGGTCAAACGTTTTCTGTAAGTCTTCACAAGGTTTTCACACACTGTTGCTGGTATTTTGGCCCATTCCTCCATGCAGATCTCCTCTAGAGCAGTGATGTTTTGGGGCTGTCGCTGGGCAACACGGACTTTCAACTCCCTCCAAAGATTTTCTATGGGGTTGAGATCTGGAGACTGGCTAGGCCACTCCAGGACCTTGAAATGCTTCTTACGAAGCCACTCCTTCGTTGCCTGGGCGCTGTGTTTGGGATCATTGTCATGCTGAAAGACCCAGCCACGTTTCATCTTCAATGCCCTTGCTGATGGAAGGAGGTTTTCACTCAAAATCTCACGATACATGGCCCCATTCATTCTTTCCTTTACACGGATCAGTCGTCCTGGTCCCTTTGCAGAAAAACAGCCCCAAAGCATGATGTTTCCACCCCCATGCTTCACAGTAGGTATGGTGTTCTTTGGATGCAACTCAGCATTCTTTGTCCTCCAAACACGACGAGTTGAGTTTTTACCAAAAAGTTCTATTTTGGTTTCATCTGACCATATGACATTCTCCCAATCCTCTTCTGGATCATCCAAATGCACTCTAG